ATTAACTCGATATGCACTACTACCTTGGGAGAAAAATGCGACCGATATTGATCATTCATTCATTTCTAGCAGCAACAACCAAATTCCTAACCGTTCTCGTTGGTAGGCTGTGCGTCCTTGGTACTCCAGCTTGAGTGGCCATATGCATGCAGATTGCAGAGGCAGAGGCCAGGCACCACGGTTAGGGGTGTGTTTAGATCACACCAAAATTAAAAGTTTGGTTGAAATTGGAACGATGTGATGAAAAAGTTAGAAGTTTATGTGTATAGAAAAGTTTTGATGTGATAGAAAAGTTAAAAGTTTAAAGAAAAAATTTGGAACTAAACAAGGCCTAGATACATCGAAATATGGAATGAGCTAAAAGATAGAGGCAAGACAAGGACGTGCACTGATGGACGCACGCACCACCACAACAACCTAAAGCTAAAACTAAAGGTGTGAAGCACTCCTATGCTCCCTCAATCGCCCACTCTATCTATACATGACTACATATATATATCTCACCTGATCTTTTTTTCATATACATGTATGAAAGATGCTGAAGCTTTATCTAATTTATTCATCCCTCTACTATTTCTATCAGGATCCATCCCTGGTAGTCATGGAATCGATCATCTTGCTTCTGTGAAATCAATTTGTTGATTTAGCCTTGATGATGAACAATTGTCAAAGGTAACCAAAAAAAATGGTTGAGTTGATGTTTGTAAAATTGTGGTGAAATTGGTAAAGTGTCAGAACACTGGGGTTCTTACTAATACAGGGTAAGTTCGATTTATACCATAGCAGTGAGTATTGTCTGCAGTACTACACGTTCAGTAGCAACCGCTGATATGTGGGATTGGGTCCACCTATCAGCCACTGCTACTGTAGATGCAGTACTAAGGCCTTTCACAGTGCAACACCGTGGACCGGTGCTCCAGCTCGACACGTCGGATTCGAGCTTGTGTGGCGTCAGGGTCCGCTCCCCAGCAGAGGAGCTCGCTCCCACGAAGGGATGCGCGATTCCACTTTGCCGTGAGCCCACGCGAGGCGAGGAAACGACGGCTTTTTTGCGCTGTGGAGCACCTCGCCCCGCTCGCTCGTGCCCTCGCGCCGCCTGTGGAAGGGTTTTCCCCAAGATCACCCTCCAAAATCGCGGCAACAAATCAACAAATCGACAGCAGCCGTCCTCCTGCTTCTGCTCCTCCTTCTCGCGGCGGCGGCGGCGGCGGCAGTGGCTGTCACACGAGTAGGTGGTAGCCGGTGCTGCGCGGCTCCTCCGCGGGGTCTGGAGGCATGGGAGGAGCAAGCGGCGTGGGTGGCGCGGCTCCTCCGAAGGCCGTTGTCGAAGAAGAGAGCGCCACCTCGCCAGTGCAAGCACCCCAACCCGGTGCTCACCTCGCCCGCTTCCTCCTCGCCGCCCATTCTTGAGCCGCTGCCGCCACGCACGCCGAGCCCGTCGACGCCGTGTTCCGCCGCTTTGGCCAGGTTGATGCTGAGCTCCACTGCCACACGTGTTGAGCCCGTCGACGCTGAGCTCCGCCGCGGCAGCCGGGGACGCCACCCGCCACCGACCGCGCCGACCAAAGCCGCCACGGCATGGGAGGCACGGCGGCATGGGAGGAGAGGAGAAAGATGCACGACGGCGGACCGGGAGGAGGAGCGGCAGTTGAGGCGGAGTGGGAGGAGGCGAGGCGCGAGCTCGCGACCGGGAGGAGGAGAGTTCGAGAGAAGCTAAGGGTAGGTGGGGAAATTTTATCGCCCCACTACCCCATGTCCACGCGCCCGAGGTCACGCGCACCGTGGATTTGGACCGAATCATTCGGTTACCTCCCACACTACATTAATCCAATTAACCCTTTCGGCTAACTTTTTAAGTTAAAAGTACGGATCTCATAGCTTGCACTGTGAAAGGTCTAGAGAGGATCCATGTCCATACCATAGGTGTTTGAACGATCACTCAGAGGGGCCGGATAACGGCGATCTGACTTCGATCCTACAGCTTCGATCGATCAGCAGCCTTGGATGCGATGCGATGCGTGGATGGATCGATCAGGTGGCATATCGCTTTCGTACCGACGAGACGACGACCAAAGTGCATGCAGGCTATAGCTTTGGATCGATTCGTCGTCGGTTGGGCTTTTGTTGGGGCACCTGCAAGGTAGCTAGGCTAAGGTAGGCGCTTGCTTGCATTGCACACACACTCGCATTATATTGTTGGATCGTTCCGTTCCAACGCGTCCGGAGTAACAAAAGTTGGTTGGTTGGTTGGGTTGGGTTGGGTTAGTTAGTTGACAAGTAGTAGTACTAATTTGATTTAGACGTGAAACGATTATATATATATTGGTGGTTCGTTGGTTGCCTGGGTCGTGGAGGCCATGAATTCAGAAGCTTAATTAGCAGCTGCGTTTAATTATTATTAGCGGATGCAACACTGGTGGATTCGCTAGTCTCTCCTTACTATATATACATACATATGATCTACTGTTCTAAGTATATATATACACGACCTAACTACTTTGCTCGGCCGCTATCATCTCTGTTTTTTTTTCTTTTCACTCTGCATATCATTTCCAAACTCCAATTCTGCTTCATTTGTTTTTTTCAGCTTGATTCTGCCGGCTTCATGTTGGTTAGTTATAGTATCTTATTAGGGGCTAATTTTAAAGTAGAATGGGGCTTTTGAGTCCACCAAATTAACACCTCTTTTCCTTCGGTAGTCAAACCTCGCTTGGATGGGCCGTCCGTCTGCAGCCCACGGGGATCACCTGCTACAGCACCAAACCAGAGCAATGTGGATACAACATGTTCGTCTCGTCGAAATGGGGCTGATTGATGCTTGCTTCGTTTTACCAAAGTTCTATAGCTAAAGTGTGGCATACCGCAATTTATGTGGCTACGAAATTCTTGGCCATAAGTTAGACAAATGTTGGCAAAGATATGTGACTATGACAAATAGGGTCACAAAATCAAAAAGTGTGACATGACAAAGATGTGGCAACTAAGCAAACACTAGGCTAAGTTGGCCAAAATAGCTTGCCAAAGTTGTGGCAAAGTATGGTCACCATCCAAACAACCCCGGAATGCTTCAACTGGAACAGCCTTTTTATGGCCATTTGCTGTTATGAGATTATGACCTCAATAACATGGGCTGTGTTTAGTTCGCGTGCCAAATTTTTTGAAACTATACGGACACACATTTGAAGTATTAAACGTACAAAACAAATTACAGATTCCACCTGTAAACTGTGAGACGAATTTATTAAGCCTAATTAATCTATCATTAGTAAATATTTACTGTAGCGTCACATTGTCAAATCATGGTGTAATTAGGCTCAAAAGATTCGTCTTGCGATTATATGCAAACTGTGCAATTGGTTTTTTTCGTCCACATTTAATGCTCTATGCATGTGTCCAAACATTTGATGTGACGAAAAAATTAGAAGTTTGAAGAAAAATTTTTGAATCTAAACACGGCCATGTTTTCAGGGTGTGTTTAGTTTATGTTAAAATTAAAAGTTTGATTAAAATTGAAATGATTGATGGAGAAGTTGAAAATTTATATGTGTAGAAAAATTTTAGTGTGATGAAAAAGTTAAAAGTCTAAAGAAAAAGTTACGAACTAAACCTGGCCTCGGTTAGATTGCTGAGAATTCATTTCACGAAATGTCACAGCCAACCCTAAGCTCAATCATGTACAGAGACCGAAGAGGATTTTAACTCTTGCACGCAATAAAACCTTGTGCCATCTCAGTCAAAGTCTACTTCCTAATTGGACACATCATATAAATTAAATACCTTCTGTTCTGTACTGTGTGTCCTACTCCCTCCGTATCATTTTAAGTGCAACCATAAATTTTCATAGCCAACTTTGATATTCCGTCTTATTTTTTAAAAAATATGATTAGTATTTTTATTGTTATTAGATGATAAAACATGAATAATATTTTATGCGTGACTTATACTTTTATTTTTTTTAATAAAACAAACTATTAAAGTTAGACACGAAAAATTATGACTATACTTAAATTAGGACCGAGGGAGTGCTTTAGATTCAGTTGAGCTAGCTCGATCACATCCACGATGACCAGTTAATCAGAGTCCACTTAATTTCAAGGTCAGCATGTGGCCATGGGCTCCATTGATTCTTCTACTCCTACCTTGTCAACATGAGATTGAGACTTGACTTGAGAGAGTGTGTAAAGTGACGACATGAACCCCCAAAAAAAAAACAACAACAAAAAAAAAACTGTAGTTGAAACAGAGAGGAAAGAGTGTGGACTGAAATGGACAGAAGGCCAGGAATCTAGGCAAACGTATGTACGGCTTATGGATAGATAGCAAGACCGACACTTGTAATGGCGTCGAAACTATTCACCGTCCTTTTCTGACCTGTCGAGTAGCAAAATTAATTTGTGTGGACTGTTGTTAGCGCATCCCCATCAAGAGCCGTCAGTGTTCTATCTTTGTGTGATGAATGCCAACAGCTTAGAAAAACAATGAGTAGAACGAGATTTTAAAGGGGAACTAACATTGTTAGTTTAGTAAAATATGCAAAGCATCCGGATGCATATATATGAATTGAACTTCATGGTTATAGCTAAGTACCAATATATATAGTACATGAAGTTGCTAAATGCTAAGTGAGGAGCATTTCAGAATGGAGGTAGCAAGACTAACCTTTGTTATTCAACTGGTTATTAGCAACACTCTAGTCGGTATCATCAAACGTTCCATCTTTCAATCCGGCAAATCTGCAAATTTTGGGTTACTATCAAGGATGGGCCTATGTGGTTGCCCTGTTTTTGGTTGGGCTAGTGGACAACTTTGCTCCATCCATCTTTCTCTGTCGGCTGAGCCCATGCAACCTTCGCCTCCTCCTCTGTTCAACTTCGTTTATAACCATCTTGCCTTCTACTAATCTGCACTTCTGCAGTTAACAGGTCAAAAATAGCACTCCCTCCAGTTCCATGATTCTTGTCATTTTGTACAATATCACGATCTCTTCATCAAAGTTCTAATAGTTTAACCACAACTTTATCCAAAACAAGAAGAATTACAGAACCGGAGAGAGTATTAATCAAGTCGATTACATCATAAATACAAGAGGGGCAAACAAAAAATGTTCAGCAACATAGAGCCTTTCTCATGGCAAAACTGTTGTATAAGTGCACGCAATGCTTTATTTCCGAGGTATACAAGCATCGTGAGAGATGTGGCACATTGCATCTCCCTATCTATACGGCTATATATGGTGCCACCAGATTCTACAAACATGCAGGTTAGTAGTGGCACCCAGCACCAATGACCAAACACATCGGTGTGTTGGATTTGGATACCATGCAACGGATATGGGGCAAATTTACAATTTACAGGTTGCCCCAAAAATGCCGCCAGCTCCAGCCTCCTTAAGCTATAGTATTACGTTGTGAATTGAGTTACTGCATGCTATTCCAGAGAGCAGAGAATTTATGCCCTCAATGATGCATTGGCCGGCTGTCAAGTTGCCCCGCTCATTTTCCTGAACTTCAGAGGGAGGAAATTGCTTGAATCGGCGTTCCTCTTCTTGCCAAAACTGCTAGGTGTGACACCAGTCGGTGAGACCAAGGAAGTGGTGGTGTTTCGCCGAAACCTCCCCATGTTCCAATATGAGAATCCATCATGTTGGCTTCCAGAACTAGGAGAACGCATAGCAAAATTTCTTGGTATCACACTTTGCTGTCGGTCATGGATATCCTGCAAGAGATCAAGAGTTAATCTGCAGTAATACAACATGTAAAGTTGTAAACAAACAAATGAATCCAGCCTTGGACTACTACAATTCAATTGGTAGTTATTGGTATCCTACAGTTTCTGTTTATGATAAGATCTCTATATGTTATCCTGGAACAAATCACCAACCAACAATTCAACATACAATTATGGCAACTAGCATGGCCTGCCATCCCTTCAGCCAGGAAAAAACAACTCAAGAGTAACAATCACAGGCACTGACGTTAGAAAGATCCAAGGTGAATCTGCTGTTCACTTAGATGGTTCAATTAATTTAAGATTAAGACTTGAGTATGGACCATGAATAAGAGTTGGTTGCTGACAATGGAAAATTATGAGCTCTTGCTAGCAAGATTACTCTTAGACAACATGCTTCTAGGAAATGTCACCTTATAAGTTGAGTGCCACTAGTTACTAGGTACTCCCTCCATTCCAAAATATAAGGCATAACCACCCCTAACCCAAAGACCAAGAAACAATTATTATCATCTTGTAGTTTGGATCATCCTAATCATATCTTACTATAAAGTTATCCCGCACTAACTCCTTAAGCTTAACATGCAAAGATGCCACATCATCATCCACTAACAAGATGCCACATCATCATCCACTAATTAACAAGATGTCACATCATCATCCACTAACAATCATCACATTTAAACATCATGCAAACATGCTATATCTTTATAGTTTTTATAATTTAAGAGCTTTTCAAATACAAACATGTTAAATTATCATCCAACATAATTCACATAATGTTTCAATGTATATCTTCATGCAAAGATGCCACATCATCATCCACTAATTAACAAGATGCCACATCATCATCCACTAACAATCATCACATTTAAACATCATGCAAACATGCTATATCTTTATAGTTTTTATAATTTAAGAGCTTTTCAAACACAAACATGTTAAATTATCATCCGACATAATTCAAATAATGTTTCAATGTATATCTTCATACTAAATTCCCGCAGCAATACGCGGAGTTTCACCTAGTAAATACAATGCATGCATCCAATAGAATTAGAGAACATGAGAGTGTAGGATTTAAAAAAGTAATAATTTAATGGAGAATGGATCATAGTTAATTGCCTACATGTATGCATGCCTTATATTATGGAACATCTAAAAAAAAAGTGGTTGTGCCTTATATTATGGAATGGAGGGAGTAATGATTAGCAAGATACAATTGAAGACATGGGAGAATGAAGACGTGTGGTGTCTAGGAAACTGAACTTTTGAAAGAACGACACGAGTTAAAGCCAAAAATATTTAACTTTTTATGGTACCATGTCAACGATTAGACCTATTTTCTTTATTTTCGTCTATTCGGATTTTAGTTACCGCTTGAAGCACTGAACATCTTCAATTCACCACATATAGATCTTGCACACCTTCCTTTTGATCTAACTTGATATAACTCACCTACAATCACGCACAATCACTATGTAAATAAATTTCTATGGGTAATGCACTTGTGCAGCACTCCAGCTTTACGGCATTCTAATTAACTTGATAGCTGGCAAAACCTGACAGAAATTTACTCATCACTTCAACATAATGATGTTTGATATCTAGTAAGCTGAATTGTAAAAACTTAAGTGAACAGAAAAAAAAAACTGCTGATAGCCATTGCTAAATAAGTCTCAACATAACGTATTGAAGTTAAGTTTATCCTGAAAGGTTTCCTTTAAAAAAAAAAAACTTGGACACCAAACCTTGATTTTCATTATTTTAAGAAGCAACAGTATTCCATCCCACGACTGCCCCTGCCAACTGCGCTAGCACTGTTCTCATCCTGAAAGCTTCATTGTAACGTAACATCTGATGATCCCAGGCAAGCAAGTTGCAGAATTAGCAACTTGGAATTGATACTAGTCAAATCAGTACTGTAAAGATAAGTGCATCTTACAAAGTTTCACCAGATGCACATGCCCAGATATGAAGTGTCTGAACTAATGCCCTCGTCACTTTTTGTGCAACTATAATCTATTGCATCACACCATGTAATGAGAGAAATGAAGATGAAAAACTTACCTGAAGAGTTCTTATGGGAACCATGTCCACAGCATGGCTAGGGTAAGCAGCAGCTATGACAAGAGAAATTTCATAATCACAATTAATTGAGATCCACTGTAAAACCAACAGTAAGTATGCGTAGATTCAAATTGGATAACATGCTGAAATAGTATTGCAGTAAGACAATCATTGGATTCTATTACAGGCTTAGAGCTACAATATCTCAAGTCAGAAGAGCGAGAAATCCTAAGGATGCACAGAAAGAACAAAAAAACAGATACCTGTATCGAACAAACGCATACAGTATTTGAACCATATTGACTATGTAGAAAAAAATTGCTTCCTCTGCCGTAAATACTTGCTTTTGTAACTGTAACATTTTCAAGCTCCAACTAATTTACATCATATATTTTCTTAAATGGCAAATTTTATAGAAAATTCTGATGACATGAGGGGGGGGGGGGGATAAGGAGTTGAAGGAAAAGGTTGAAGAGAAAATGGGAAGGTACAACAATTGAAAAGGTGACTTGTTAATCAGAAGACCTAGTATCTTAGTCAATAGCATGACAAACATCCACAATATTCAGTCCATATTTCCTTTTTTTTTTCCTCAAATAATTCATCATCATGGCACAACTCTGTAGTCTGTGCATAATGTGTTTGTAGTTGCTCACTAGTCTTACTACACAAAATTAACTAGTTAAGCATAAAACCATTTGCTAATGCCATCGTGAATGATGACTTATACATTGACAAAACCACGAGGAGTGGCTATACTTTCCTCTCTTGTGCTACCATACCAGTTAGTATAAAATTTAGACCAAACAAAAGCATGCCAGTGATTGCGTTATCATGTATAGGATGATCCCAGCATGCTTGGTCATTTTTATGTTTCTCAAAATCAAGTGAAGGTTCTAAGTTGAATTGCTCATCGCCACCCTCACTTTGAATGGAATACTTTGCGCATGAAAAAAAAGAAAAAACAGGCTGCAATTCCACCCAATAAGTTGGAACAAATATATAATTCCGTACATAATTGCAATGCAGAAGAAGATGTGTGCAAGGAAGAAGAAAGAAAAATCTATACCTGCAACTCCCATTGCAAAAGGAGATGAGCTGCCGCCGGGAATCATCCGCGACGACGGCCCCGGGAACCCGCCGCTGCCGCTGCTGCTGCCAACCTCGAAAAGTGGCATGGTAGGCGAGAACTCCCCGAAGTCGGTCACCGGCGGCGACGGCGACGGCGCGGGTAGGCGGAAGAACGGCGAGAGCATAGGTGGTCCAGTTCCGCCGCCGCCGCCGCCGCCGCTGCGGACGGGGGAGGCGGCGTCCCACGCGGCGAGCGGCGCGCCACGCAGCGGGCGCGGGCTCCAGCGGAAGGGACCGAATCCGGGGGCGCCCATCGGGGGAGGCGGCGGCGGCGGCGTGCGGGACTCGTCGGTGGAGACGGCGTCGTGGTGGTGCTGCGGCTGCGGGAGCGGAGGCGGGGGCGGGGGAGGGGGCGGCTGGTGGGGGAGGAGGTGGAGGCGGCGGATCCAGACGGAGTTGAGCGGGTCGGGGTGCTGCTGCTGCGGCGGCGGGAGGCGGCGGTGGTGGTGGTAGGACGGCGGCAGCGCGGAGCTGTGGCTCCCGACGGAGCTCCGCAGCGCGAGGTGCTCCGACATGGCGGCGGCGGCGGAGGGCGGGATCGCCGGAGACCGCGAGGAGGACCCCGAAGGCGAAGGCTAGCTTAAGCTAGCCCTCGCACAGCTCTGGTCGTGTGGCTGGGCTCACCTAGGATGGAGGCGAGGTGGGGAGGAAGCAAGCAAGCGGGGGGAGGAATATAAGCTGCCGGGAGGTCGCCGTCGCCGGCGTCGTGGTCGTCGTCGTCGGCGTCGCGGGGAGTGGAGGAAGTGAAGCGAGAGCCGAGAGAAGAGGGTGATGAGGGGATAGGGGTGGACACGAACACACGACCCGCTCATCCGCTGGCGTTGACACGGCTTCCATAGTTGCATATGGGATGCTCACATTGAAGCCAAAAATTAGGTAACATTTGATTATAAGGTCTATATTTTCAATACGGTTTTCAGATTTTTATTTTATTCTATGATCCTAATAAATATGAAATTAGTATCACATGAAAGTGCTTCAATGTATGAATCTAGTGATATAGCATGCATAATACTTAGTATAGATATAGTTAGTATGATTATTAGTCAAAAGCTACCCAGTTTGATTTTCCTTAAAAAAGGGCGTCCTATAATTTGGGAGTAATGTTTTTAAAATTTTGACAGGATTTCCTATATATTTATTAAAATTTGAAAAAAAAAACTAAATGGATGCGCAAATTTAGCAACTCTACCAAAAGTGATATGATTTAAAGTGGCATCATTCTGAACAAGCCCATAGGTTTTGTATGTCTGTTGAAAAGCCGCAGCTAATTTTCAACCTTTTTTTAAAAAAAACAAAATTTAGCGTGTTTATGGTTTTTACCCTTGCTTTTTAAAATATAGAATAAAAATTTTAGATTATTTGTTTTCATCGGATCTAATTTTCTACTTCCTCCATCTCAGAATGTAACCATTTTTTTAGGTACGCACGTGTATTAAGAAAGTAGGTAGAAATGATTGGAAGAGGGTTGTGATTGGTGGAGAAGAGAAAGTAGACGAAGAGAATGGTTGTGATGGGTTGAGAGGAGAGGGTAGGTGAAGAAATAGCTTTATTTTAGGACAAGTTACTATGCTAGAAATAGCTATATTTTGGACGGGGTAGTATATATTTCCAATCAGTCTGGCCCACCAATCATGAATCACTCGAGTCATCTTGGGTGTGCTCTTTCACAGGTTTAACCTTATGATGTGACCATTGTCAGGGTTATGGATACTACATACCTAATATTAGTTGATTAAATTTCGACAGAATCCACCACATACCATGTCTTATACAGATACAATCCTCGGATATAGGAGGAGTTCCGGATAAGGAAAGACAACCAGAGTTCTATATGAAAACGACAATGACTACTCGGATTGTATCCATATTGATTTCTCTAGTTCTACTTAGACAAGGAGGCATCTATGGATATAAATACAAGGCCCCCTAGGAGGAGAGGGGACACAATCAACATACACGAAACAATAGATCAAGATAGAAGATCAACATAGAAGCCAACATACACCAAGATAAGACACCGGATATCGACTTCAGAGATAGGCATGGCTAGTCCCCGACGGTGTCTCCGGATACTGATAGGAGAGACATTGCGATGTCTCTGATCTCGCCGGCACGAACTCGAGGAGGAAGACTACCCTGTTGTCGACTACGAGTCAGACCTTTAGACTGCCATGTCAACAACAGTTAGATAGGCTACCCCAAATATTGTACTGGTGTGATTATGGTGAATAAGAGCAATACCGGCTTCGGCCAACAGGATGTAGGGTTATTAACTAACAATTCAGGGGCCCGAACCTGTATAAAAATCCTCGTCACTGTCTCTTTTACCTCAGTCTCGTATATATCCTAGTACCAACGATCCCCATACTATGAAAATACCCAAATCGCGACATCAAACGTCGACAGTGCCGCACCATAGTTGCTATTGATATAACCGTTGCTCATATCATAGCACAGTAGGGAGACAAGCTGCCCACACTCTAGAATCCAATTCGGCCAACTGCAGCAACGTTGACTTCAAACGGCCGCCAAATATGCATACGATCTTCGTTTCCGATCCATGAGTACTTGATGAAAAACTCTCGAAGTCCTCTTTCCAAAGGATCCAGCCTCATCACCAAATTACATGTTAGTCATTTGCAATTGAAGAAATAAGGTGATGCCTACCTATCTTGGGCCATTAGGCTTGTAACTTCATTTGGGATCCCGGCCCAACTAGGACCCATGTAGGGTGCGCCCAAACCTAATGGAGCACGACCCTACGGACCCTTTGGTTGTCCCCCCACCTTCTTAAATAGCTAGGTACCATTTAGGGTTTTTCGGGTTTTGTATAGATTAAAGTTTAGTCATTGTTACTTTCTTACATCGCGCATGTCGGCTAGTCCGTTTGTTTGTCTTCGGAACCCAACTTATCATTTGTTTTCAATTCCTATTTGCAATTCAGATTGCTTTTATCTTGTTATTGCTTGTTTCTTCGATTTGCTTGTAGCAATAAGGTTGATCTGCATCGGTGTATCAATCACTAAGACGCAACGCAACAACACCTCGTACGGCTGTAGTTGGGTCATCAACGTTTCTCTCAAATCATAGTTATCTTCAACTCATCGAAAAATCGGGCCAATCATAGCCATGAGTGTCTCGAGTGGAGCACAGGGTTTGTTAATGTTATATCAATAGCAACTATGATCACATCACCTTACTAGTTAACAGTTTTTAACAATGTACATATCAAAGATACTAGTATGACTGTATGGATGCCTCTAATATCCATTATCAACATGAGATAAAACTATGAGCTCTCTTTCTATCCCAATCCATGTTCTCTGCAGTACTACTTATTGGCTGTAGATCCAAATATCTGTGGGGTCCACATATCAGTGTGCAGTACCGTGGAGGACCATCACTCTTTCCATCCGTCCGTTGGTAATGTACGGGGGACACATGTCACACATCTACGGTTGTTACACTTACACACCCACATAGCCGGTCGTCGGTCGGTACTACTCCATTGGAAGCGTCAGATTCCATAGTGCTAAACTATTACACATACACATGTTTTCTTTTTGCTTGGAGTTGCATGCTTCATGTCTGGAAAAGAAGGTGCTCTTCCTCCAGGATCACTATTTGGCTTTTTTCAAGATTTGTTTTCTTATGGGAGGGGTCTTCCTCTCATTATTTGCATGTTATTCAAATAGTTATGAAAATTTTTTTAAAAAAATTAAGAAGATATATTAATATGTGATATATCACTCCACAAACATGCAAGTTCAAATTTAATTTCTACATCTCGCAACGAAAAAAATAAATTAAACTACAATCAAATTTGTTTTTTCCGTTGCGAGATGTAAAAGTTGAATTTGTACTTGCATGTTTACAGAATGACATATCACATGTTAATACATCTTCTCAAATTTTTTTAATAACCATTTAAGTGACATATAAACAATAAGTGGATATCCCCTATAGGGATGTAAATAGTTTCCCTTTTCTTATTTGTTACTCCTACTTATCTGAACATGCTACAATGGGATTCCAGTTTCCCTTCGCTGTTTCTCTACAACCGAATGCTGTATAGGACCTGAGCTCCTGCACAGCATTGGGTTGTATGCTAAACATCATAAGTTGTTTGAAGTTCGACATACCACTCTCTAAAATCATTTTGTTTCAAATATTCATCAACCTACTTAGTTTTATTACAAAAAGCATCCCAATGCACACATGTTTAACCAAATCAATATATTTTCATAAAGTGTGAGCTGTTAATGTAATCTTTACCAAAATTAAATACTTTGTATTATCTTGACAATTTTTTTAGATTTCATAAATAAAATTGATGATAAGAACTTAAATGTTATCACATTCACTAAATGAGAAAAAAAAATTCAATCAAACATAAAAAAAAATAAATCTAATTCAAACATTTGAACAACATTAATTGACTCAACTAACTTAGTCTGTGGTGACTTTACATCAACGATAACGGACTAATTTGGTTAAGCACGTGAGCAAAAAGATGATTTTTGCAACAAAATTAAGTAGGGGTGTATGTCGGTAATAAAATAACCTATATGATGAAATTTTAAACTTTAAATGATTTATGGGATGCTTTTTTCCTTGCAATTTCTCATACTTCGTGATATTGAACTGACGACACGCATCATAAACACAGTACAGCTGAATAGCTGATCTGCTGTTCGAGTTGAGAAATTGCACGCAAGTCGTTAACCATAACTTATTGCACGGTCTTGTTCTTTTCTATCAAGATGCTAAATATAGTGTGTTTCGTATGAAAACTTTTTATATAAAAGTTATTTTAGAATAAAAAAAATATCTTCTAAATTTATAATAAGAGTAAATTTTAGAAAACTGCAACTTTAGTGACAAATGTATCAGTTTGCTGTAACTTTAGCGATATGTTTCAGTTTGCTGCAACAATAACACGAGAAATTATGATAAAACTGTAACTTTTATGTTATATGTTACTACAGTTGTCACATATATGTACTGTAGCAGCATATAACGTAAAAGTTGCAGTTTTGTGATAATTTTTCATGCTATTGTTGCAGCAAACTGAAATATGTCGCTAATGTTGCAGTAAACTGATAGTTTTATCACTAAACTTGCAGTTTTCTAAAATTTACTCTTATAATAATTAAACTCAATTAATAATATGCTAATACTTTTTTATTTTTGCGTGTCGTAATCTAATCTTCATGTTCTTCAGATTAGCACCGCAACGTTTAGTAATGTTGTTCCCGCCAAGTTTCGATTAGAGCTCAGCACGGCACATCGCCGGAATGGAGCCGTCGCCCAGCAGCAGCTGCCGGAACGTCCACCCGACGACGGCGAGCGCCTCCTCCGCGCTGCCGATGCTGGCGCGCTCCCTCAGCTCGCCGGCGAACGGCCCGCCGCCCCACTCGCCGGTCCGCCTCCACCGCTTCAGCTCCTCCCACATGGCGTCCCAGTGCTCGATGTACGGCAGGTGCTCGGCGGCGACGCGCGCCCCTCGCCCCCGCGTCAGGATGGTCTCCAGGATCGGGTGGAGCCGCTGCCCCTCGCAGATCACCGCCGCCAGCGTCGCCAGCGCCCGCTTCACCGCCGCCGCCTCGCCGCCGCCGCCGCCGTCGTAGCCGGAGAGCACCACGGTGGCGTAGCTCGTGAAGGGCGACCCCAGGGGGAGGCCGAGCAGGTTGTTGACGCCGCCGACGAGGTCGCCGTAGCTGCTGCCGAAAGGGAGAGGGGTCGCCACGAGGTCGCCGCGGAACAGGTGGTCGTTGCCTCGCAGGGCGTGCCAGTGGCCGGTCCGGTTGGCGAAGCCGGCGACGGAGAAGACGTCGGGCCTCACGGCGAGCGTCCCCACGCCGCTGCCGTAGTCCTGGAGGTCCACCAAGATCAGGTCGCGCTCGACTCGCACCTCGCCGAGAACGGCCGCCGGGAGGTTCCCGGCGAGGGGGAGAAGCAGGAGCGGCGCCGGGAGGAGGAGGAGGAGGAGGAAGAAGGAGAGCGCGGCGGCCATGGCGTCGTACGTGCAACAAACCTGGAGAGCTAGCTAGCCAGTGGCCCGGTTCTTCCACGATGGCGACGATTTTGTAGCCGGCGGCGCGCGGTCGAGTGGGTTGGCAGGTGAGCGGCGATTTTGTCGCCGGAGACCGGAGGCGGGCGCGGCCGGCGTGCGTGATCGGCGTGCCCGGAATCTCTATTGACAGCGCTGTAAAAACTAAAAAAAAAAAAGTCAAATATACTCCTCCATTTTGGATTACAAGTCATTTTTTTACTTTGTCAAAGATAAATTGTTTTAAGTTTGATTAAATTTATAGAAAAAACATGAACATTTTTTACCTAAGACAAATATGTTATGAAAATATATTCGATCATTGAATTTTGATTATTGATTTAATGAAACTAATTTGTTGTTGTAAATATGATTGTATTTAGGAAAAAGTACGAAATACCCCCTGAACTATCGCGGTCGACCGAATTACCCTCCTAAATTCAAATAACGGATATTTTACACCATAAACTATACATACCGGACAAACGACCCCTAACACCGTTCTGGGCGGTTTTGATTTCAGCTATCACACGTGCCGCCAATGTGGCAGCCTAATCAGAAAAAAAATTAAAAAAATCCCTGGGCCCATCTGTCATCCAACTTCTCCCAGCTCCCTTGCGCTCTCTCTCTCTCTCGTGCGCGTACTCGGGCTAGGGGCGGAGGCGAGCCAGTTCCCCCAAATCCAGCCGCCGCCGCCGCCCTCTTCTTCCCTTTGGCCGCCCGCGGAGGAGGCAGCCGGAGCTCATGGTGGACGGCGGCGCGGGGATGGGAAGATGGCGACGGCACGGGGACGGGAGGTGTGCGGGGTCGGCGACGGCGAACTTCTTCGCGCCGCCCTGGGAGGAACGAGGCGGAGGCCCAGCCGCCGCCGGTGAGGAACGAGGCCGGAGGCGGAGGCGGCGGAGAGGAAGACCGGCGTCGTGTGGTGGCGAGCACGAAAGGGGCGGCGAGCGCGGAAGGACCTGTCCGCGAGCGTGGCACGCACCAGCGCGGCGGGGAAGGGAGGCGGAGGAGGTGATCGCCGAGTACCTCGACGCTGCCCGTCGCCGGCCCTCGCGCGCCGACCGCAAGCGCCGCTCGACCTGCGCCCGCGCGGCCGCCACCTCGACGCCGCCCGTCGCCAGCCCTCGCGCGCCGACCCCCGCGCCGCTCGACCAGGGACCGCGCGGCCGCCACCTAGGCGCCACCCGTCACCGGCCCTCGCGCGCCGACCCCCGCGCCGCTTGACCTGGAACCGCGCGGCCGCCACCTCAACGCCGCTCGTCCGATGCTTTGTGGATAGCCGACTGGCGCCTTCGCCGCCGGCCAATCCGGCGACCCCTCCCGCCGCCTGCCGGAACCCGAACCGGTAGTTGGCGTTCATCTGGCTGGCGAGCAGCTCGGTGGCGGAGGGCCCCGTTGGACGCGGCGATGGGAAGTTTAACATCTCCGAGAACGCGCACGATCCATGCCCGGCCGGCGCCTCTGCGTGGTCGTACATGGCGGCAGGCTGGGCGTGCTCATCGCCGTCGATGCGGAGCAAGCCATGGCCTCCCCTCTCACCCGGCCGGCGGGTCGAAGCCCTGCTGCACCCTCAGGCCTCAGCTTGTCGAGGCGGCTCTGCTGCGCCAAGTGATGTTGCTGCTGCTCGTGCTGTTTGGTCTTAGCTGGAGCCAGGGAAGTCGAAGGCCTGTTGCTGCTGCTGTTCCTATGCCGGCGATGGTCATTTGGCCAACAAGTTCCTCTTATTTCTCTGCAGCTACCTGAGCTCATCACCACAAGAAACCGGATGGCAAGCTGCCGGCGGCGAGCGCCCATCGCCTCGCCCGTCCCCCCGCGCCACTGCCCACGGCGCGTCCCCGCGCACCGCCGCCCACCGCCCGTCCGCAGCCGCGTGCATGGGAGAGAGAGAGAGCGCGCGACCGAGGAGAGGGAGACCGGGAAGGAAGAGAGATGAAATGTGGGCCCAAGAAGTCTTTTTCTGACTAGATTGCCGCGTTGGCGCCACGTGTACAAGCTCAAGTCAAAACCGCTCAAAATAGTATCGATGGGGGTAATTCATCCGGTATTAAAAGTTTAGGGTGCGTTATGTCTGGTTTCGGGTTCAGAAGGTAATTCAGCCAACCGTGATAGTTCAGGGTAATCCATACTTTTTCCTTGTATTTATGTATAAACTTAGTCTTGAAGTAATTTTACTTTTATCATAATCTGGTGGTAGTAGATATTGCTGCATTTTGTGAGTGGTGACATCTGCATTTGACTGCATGTTGAACGAATTGTGTTGTTGCTGTGCAGAATGTGATGTGAAGCACGTAGGTGCGTGAACTGTCAAAGGTGTAACTTAATTCGTCAAATTTGATTGCTGATTTTGAATTGACAATGGTAGTTCGTGTTTTTCTTTAAGGTGATGGAATAAATGGTTTACGTCTCTGACATATACCGACAGGCACATATCCAATAAGTTTTGTTGTTGGAAGAAAAAAAAGGCAACACAGGGTGATGCCGATTTGGATCAAATAAACTACGGAGTTGCTAGAAATATGGCGCCATATGCTACAGTCGATTTTTTTTCAGCCACTTACACAGTAGTTACACCTCATTTACAACCCACTTACATATGTAATTAGTATGTAATTTTCGAATTTACATATGTAATTTTAGTACTTACATATGTAATTTTGAGACTTACATTGTAAATACACTAAAATTACATATGTAATTTAGGGACTTACAATGTAAATACATACCGACTATTCTTTGATGAAAAATATGGCGCCATAAATATAGCTACACCCATCAAACGGTTCTCATTGTAACAAGCGCGTGATATGATCTGGAAAACGACCACCACAATAGGACTTAAATCAAACACACTGAAATTTAAGATCATCCCATTCAGAAAGGGAACAACGAACACAGACATCACGGTGACACACGAACTGACACTAGAGCATAGAGAGCAACGTTTTATTCAGAGAAACAGCACCCGTGCAAATGCAGAATATACTCCATATAAGTATCAGGCGCTGTGGCTGTGATCCTGCAGCAGCTGCACGAAGCTGCGGTTCGCGAGCAGCTTGGCAATGGCGAGCGCCTCGCCGGCGCTGCGGATGCCGGCGCGCCTCCTCAGCACCTCGGTGAAGGGCCCGTCCCACTCGCCGGTGCGCCTCCACCGGAGGACCTCGAACGACATGGTGTCCCAGTGCTCGATGTACGGCAGGTGCTCCGCCGCCACGCGCGCCTCGCCGCTCTCCCACCCGCTCGACACCGTCTCCCTGATCGGCTCCAGCCGCAGGGCCTGGGTGAACATCACCGACAGCGCCGCCACCGCCCGCTTCACCGCCGCCGTCCCCTCCTCGGCGTCGGGGTCGTAGGAGGCGAGCACCCCGGCGGCCCGCGCCGCGGCCGCTTTCCCGAGCGGCAGGCCGGGGACGTGGTGGAGGCCGCCGATGAGGTCGCGGTAGGTGTTGCGGAACGGGAGGCGCCTGGCGTTGGGGATGGCGTCCTCGTCGCCGCGGAAGACGTGCCAGTGGTGGCTCCCGTTGGTGAAGCCGGCGAAGGAGATGTCGTGGCGGTGCATGGCCAGGACGGTGCCGTCGCCGTCGCCGCTACGCAGTTTGAGAAAGACCAGGTCGTCGCCGGGTGGGTCTTGCTGCTGCGCCGCCGAGACCGAGAGAACCTCTCCGCGGTGGCCGGCGAGATTGAGGAGGAAGCGGAGGAGGAGGAGGAGCAGCGCGGCCTGGAAGTTCGCCATGGTGAGATCGAGCTAGCTAGCTCCCTAAGCTTTGATGCTCTCCTCAGCAAAGCAAAGCTATATATGCGCAGTGTGTAGTGATGAATCCTCGCAATTTGCGTTGGGCAACTGCACCAGGAGGGTGAACTGGTTGAATGCTGATAGAGCTGTTTACACCTAAAGTTGGCATTTAGGTTTAAAATTGAAGAGAATTGTCAAGATTTGATAAAGTTACTGGTTTTCTCTACAAGGCTGGTCTAACCGCCGTGTATTGGCCGGTCAGACCGTTGCTTGCGGGCCGGTCTGATCGGCGTGCCAACAAGAGCCTAGCTCGTCTACAATATTTTGGTCGCGCCATGAAAAAAGCGTGTCCCTCCTAGCGTTAGGCAGCTAGAGAAAGGGAAGAAAAACTCTCGCAATTTTCACACGTATGCTCCTAGACTGCTAAACATCATGCATTTTTTGAAAAGAAAAAACTAGAAATATTGCCGCGCCTGACCATGATGCTGCTGAATTGAGTATACACAATTGCTCAAACTGGTTCAAGAGAATTAACAATTGAACATTGTATCAAACATAATTATCTCAACATATTGAAGAGACTTATTTACCATTATCTCGTACACACGACAGGAGGTCGTTTGCAAGTTTGCTTTGGCACATAAATCTGAAAGTAGAGAAATCAACACATCGTGTACCGATAAACTATTGTGTCACTTGATTGTGAAGGATCAGACCAGCTTTGTATTGCATCAGTGTTAAGCAGTGATAAGAAGCGAATACTACTTCCCAGTAGTCTTTCAATGCAAAGGAAAGGATATTAAGGAACGATCATATCAATGCTTACCAATCATCAATGCTTGCCAATGACAGTAATTTCAAATTGATAGATTAAGATACTTAAATATCACACATCGATACAAAATTACAACACTTTTGAGTAGTTTTGTAATTTCTCTCCCATATCAACTCTGGTGAAAAGAAATACTATACTAAAAAGGCTAGACAGTTGTGATACTATATAAAACTTTGCTTGTTCGTATTCTGGAAATGCTCCACACAAATATTTCCATTTTAGGTAAGAAATGAATGAGTGTATAGTTGGATTGGAAATTTTGACCTGAACTCTGCATATACAACACAATTAATTTTGTAGTGCTAAAAAAAGCTAGCAATATGCTAAAGTGGGTGAGAATACTTGATGTGTCTAAACTGGCTTTAACTCAATGCAAAATAGGATGTAGTGATTGGAGAAGCTTTCTGGGATGGATCAACATGGTGGAGAAAAACCACTTTTATCCTGCCGTCACTCCTTGGTGGACTATAGAAAGTCACCTATGTTTTCAGTTGCAAATATTTTGGCATTGTGAGGTTACAGATTACTAATTCAGATTTAGAAGATAGACAAATGCATAGAAAGGAAGAAGCTCACTTCAGATATAATGGCTATAATATAATAACATTACCTTAAACCACGGTACAACCAACTGTCCTGAAGGGTATAGGGTTAAAAAAGGTGGGGAGCAACAAACCAATAGGGAAAATTAGCGTTTCATGGGAAGAAACAAAAGAATTTATATGTTTGCATTAAGCACCTAGATATTTAAGTACAGACCACATAGACTGTGAGTAATAACATTATGTGAATATCTTTTTCTAAATATGCAACCACTTTTCAGTTTGTTAAGCTAGTTAAGCTAGGAAATAAGTATTGATCTGGCTTGCTTGTTCGAAGAAGAAACCACCCCCAATAACTGCAGTCACCTTGCCTAGCTTAGAAAAGAAGAAAAGCAATTCTCTCACGCAAAAATATTGTTTTGAACTGGTCGAACGCTGATAGCACACACCATAATCACGAAAACGTAACAACACAGCATTTTTTCCGCGTTCGTTCAATCAGGATCCCAACCTCCACTCCCTCGCTTTTCGCGCGCACACTTTTCAAACTGTTAAGCGGTGTATTTTTTTTTAAAAAAAAATTTAATATGAAAGTTACTTAAAAAATCAAATTAATCATTTTTTTAAAAAATAACTAATACTTAATTAATCGCGCGCTAATAAACGGTTCCGTTTTTCGTGCAGAGGGGATGGTTTCCAACCCCAACAATCGAACACAGGCGCAAGCTAATCTGCTGCTGGAAATTGTGGACTCACACACATACACAAATGAACGAGAACTTGTCGCTAATGGAAACGTTATTACTACTACTCTACAACTAACTTTAACAGTTTATCATAGAGGTCAGTAGACTCAGTGCGGCACATCGCCGCCGCCGAGCCGTCGCCGAGCAGCTTTTGCCGACTGCCGGAACGTCCAGCCGACGACGGCGAGCGCCTCCTCCGCGCTGCCGATGTTGGCGCGCTCCCTCAGCACGCCGGTGAACGGCCCGCCCCACTCGCCGCGCCGCCTCCACCTCCCGAGCTCGTGCCACATGGCGTCCCAGTGCTCGATGTACGGCAGGTGCTCGTCGGCGATCCGGGCCTGCTCCCCGGCGGGCGCCCTCCCCATCCGGCTGGCCTCCAGCACGGCCCGCGCGATCGGCCGGAGCAGCAGGGGCCGTGCTCGCTGGTGGTGGTGGTCGCCGCGGTGGAACAGGTGGTCGCTGCCGCGCAGGGCGTGCCAGTGGCCGCTCCGGTTGGCGAAGCCGGCGACGAACATGGTGTCGACCCTCACCGCCAGCGCCCCGGCGCCGCTCCCGAAGTCGAGCAGGTCCACCATGGACAGCTTGCCCCTCAGGCTCGTGGGGGACAGCTCGACGTGCCCCCTGCGCTGAGAGAGACGAGCGGGAGGAGGAGGAGGACGAAGAGGAATGGTGCGGCGGCCATGGTGAGGAGTGAGGAATGCGTGCAAACCTTGGGCAAGCGGGCGGCGATTTATCCGCCGGCCCGGCAAGAGGGCGGCGTGAGATCTCGGCGGAGTGGCAGGTGTGCGGCGAGTTTGTTGCCGGAGGCGGCGGTGGCTCGCCGCGCGCGATCGGCGTGAGCGAAACTCTTGACCGCGAAGGCGAAAAGTAGAGCCGCTGACAGGTGCAGGGGTGGGCATTCCGTCTAACCGAAAAAATCGGTTCGGTTTTTCGGTCTTTTAAAAAATTCGGTTTTTAGAATCACTCGGTCTTCAAGAAAACTCAGGACCGAGCGATTCGGTCTTCGGTTTGTTCGGTTCGGTCTCGGTCATAAACCGAACTAACCGTAACACTAACTGTGGTTTGAACGGCAGAAAAAAATAATCACAAAAATAGTACTCGTAAAAGATCGATGAATCAAATCAACTCAGATCGAATCAAAGCAGCTCGGATGAACGACAGGTCGACAGCAATATGATGATCCCACGAGCAAGTAGCAGGTAGAGCACGACTCAGAGAAAAGAAGCAAATCAAGCAAATTAATCCTACTGTGACTTGGATCCCGTCGATCTCCATCGCCCCTCCGAAAGCTCCATATCTCATCCATCTCGTCTCCCATCGTCGTTGTTCCCGGCTACCCGCGGCTGCCATCGCTTTAATCACAAGCTCACGGCCGGCGTCCTCCGCCAGCGAGGTCTCTTCCACCACCGTCCACCAGGGTGCAGCTGGGCGACCGGGCTAGAGTGCGTCGGGTTGGGAAGGGATCGCCACAGCCGCACGACCTTCTTGGGAGGCGCTCCTCCGTCGGGCGGCGTTGGGCGGTGCTGCACCGTCGGGCATCGGGACTGGGAGTTGCAGAGGATAAGATCGTGGCTTCGTGAGCAGGGACTAGGTGGTTGTTGCTCACGTGATGAGGTATTGGGCCTAGTGGGCTGAGATGTCACATGTGGTATTGGGCCTCTGATATATTTCGGTTTTTTCGGTCAATTCAGTTAACCGAGCCTCAAGACCGAATTGACCGAACTAAATTCGGTTAGTTGAAAGTGCATACCGAATTTATGACCGAATTTCTCGGTCTCGGTTAGTTCGGTTTTGGTCTCGGTCATTTCGGTTCGGTTTTTTTCTGTCCACCCCTAGACAGGTGGGGCATGAGTATACAAGATTTTTTGCGCATGATCTGGTGGCACACACATTGGAACGTATTTTGTGTGAATTTGAATCATCCGATGATCCGTGCAGCCATTTGCATTGGCAGAAGGAAAACGGAGAAATTTGTTTGGACGCTTCTGTTTGATCATTTCAGAAGCGTGTGGCCGGCCTAGAATGAGTTTGGCTAATGCCCAGATCCTCGTGCCTTGCTCTGATCTAGAATGAGTTTGGCAAATGTCCCAAATCCTCATGAACTGAACAAGGAGTATCAAGCCTGTGCCGAAGAACAGGTCCAGTAAAAGAAGTATCCCCATTCGGTCCAACACTTTGGCACTTGGAATTGACGCTCGTGCTGATCGATTGTGTTTTCAAACAGTATATGCAACTAGAAGTGTAACAGAATCATTGGCGGCCGCTTAACTTGCAGACGGTGAAAGAAGAAATCTGTTACCACTGTACATATCCAACAGTTCTTTTTTTTCGTAGGAGCCATATTCTTTTTTTTGACAGTATGTTCAACAATGCTTGCAGCTGTTAATTTGCTGTAGATGTGATGTGTCAACACTCTCAAAGGTGCAGTTAGATTCATGAAATTTTGATGCTGAATTTAATTTGGATTAACCATCACAATACCAATCTGTATGAAACGGAACTCCCATCAGTAAACAGCACTGAGGCACAAAACATTTACTGCATAATAATCGTCAGAGGCGGCTCACCAAATTAAGTTCTAAACACTTTGATCTGAAAACACAAAACACAACATCACAACACACAACAATATTTTTATTCAGCGAGCAGCCGCGCGTGAGACGATGAAGCAAGCAAGCACTGCAAGCTGCAGTGATCAGATGCCGTGAGCAAGCTGCAGCTCCTCCAGGTCGCGATCGATCAGCACGCCGGCGACGGCGCCCGCCTCCTCCGCGCCGCCGATGCCGGCGTCCTTCCTCAGCAGCTCGGTGAACGGGCCGTCCCACCTCCCGGTGCGCCTCAAGCGGAGGAGCTCGAACGACATGGTGTCCCAGTGCTCGATGTACGGCAGGTGCTCGGCGGCGACGCGGGCCTCCCCCCCCCCCCCCCCCCCACCCGCTCGACACGGTCTCGTTGATCGGCTTCACCCGCGCCGCCTCGCTGATCATCACCGTCACCGCCGCCAGCGCCCGCCCGAGCTCCTCCACCTCGTTCCCCTCGGCGGCGAACGCCGCCGGGTCGTAGGAGGAGAGCACGCGGGCGGCGCGCACCATGGCGTCGCGGCCGAGGGGGACGCCGGGGAGGTTCTGGATGCCGCCGATGAGGTCGCGGTAGGTGTCGCCGCCGAAGGGGAGGACGCTGGCCGCGGACGGGACGAGGCCCTCGCGGCCGCGGAAGGCGTGCCAGTGGCGCGTCCGGTTGGCGAAGCCGGCGAGGGAGAGGTCGTGGCCCTGGAGCGCCACGGCGGCTAGCTCGTCGGCGTCGAGGCCTCCGGTGAGGCCGACGACGAAGAGGCCGTCGGAGGGCGGCTCGAGGTCGGAGACGGAGAGGACGTCGCTGCGGTAGCCGCCGAGGTCGAGGAGGAAGTAGAGGAAGAAGGCGGCTTGGAAATGCATGGCCAAATCGATCAATCGATCAGCTTGCACCCCTACTTCTCCCAATCTCTCTAGCTATAGCTTCGTTCTGAGCAAGTGTGATACTGGAATATAAATACGAGAGAGATATTAGCTCGATCGCTTTTAGCACGTCAAAAGAGCGTGTCCTCTCTACCTCTCCGGAGAAAGGGGATGACAGGTGGGGCCAGGACCCCGGGCACTGTTGGGAGAAACTAATTGTATGACTCCGCTGGTTCAGTATGAATTTTATTTTTTTTATATACTCCCTCCATCCCCTAAATGTTTGACGCCGTTGACTTTTTAAAATATATTTGACCGTTCGTCTTATTCAAAAAATTTAAGCAATTATTAATTCTTTTTCTACCATTTGATTTATTGTTAAATATACTTTTATGTATACATATAGTTTTACATATTTCACAAAAGTTCTTGAATAAGACGAACGATCAAACATGTTTAAAAAAGTCAACGGCGTCAAACATTTAGGGAATGAGGTAGTAACTATTTAAACCACATGCATACTCCTAGATATGATAGCATCCATATGTAGAAAATACTTTCCAAGATCCATCTCTACTTTCAAGCTTTCCATGTCGTGAGGAGGAAGAGGGTGCAGACTCCTTTTTTTTCGTTTGTCCCTTACCGATTGCTAGTGCTGTCCATCATTCATAAACCATTGTGGTTACACTCCATTTCGACGATTTGAGATGTTCGTAGGTCGTCTAATTAGATAAGATATCTCAGTTTTTCTCGTGTATCTATATTTCACTAATAAGTTAAAGGACATATCTAGTGTGTGGTGATAAAGCACGCGGTATGTGTTGTTTGGCCAACCATGCATTTCGCTAGGAGGTGGAAGCACATATCTAGTGTGTGGTGGGTATGCGTTGTTTGGCCATTCACAGGTTACCAATTTATCGAAGCACAAACTATTTTTTGCACAACTATTCAAGAAAAGAGCTTGCATTTTTTTTTCGAGATCTATGGTTTTCAGGTCAATATTTTTTCGAGGTATATGGTTTCCAGGACTCCAGGTCAATATCTTAGTACTTCCTCCGTTTCACAATGTAAGTCTGTTAACAGTGAAATTTGGTAATCAGCAAAGACGTCATCGGCTTAGAGTCATTATCGGCTGCAGCATCTCGGGATCAGCCGATGGGAGTTATCAAGTCGCCAATAGTCAAATTCCTGCTATATTCGGCTAAGGAAATCAATCTACTAACGGAAGCTTATCCATAAGTGACCGAGTTTAAAAAGAATGCGGCATGGCAAGTTATCTATTAAATAGAAATAGTTTGTTAGTTTCCTTTTATCTTTAGAAAAATGTGTTTAGTGTCCTATAAGGACTTTATCTGTTCCTTTTATCTTTAGGAAGGTTTCTTTCTTGTCCGACAAAGACTTGTATCAACCCATGGGTATAAATATGTACACCCTGGGTCATTGTAATCTATCCTCACGATCAATACAATTCGGCGCATCGCCACCTTTTACCTTTTCTACTTTATTTTATCGTCCGGTAGGATTTGGCACCTGACGCGGGGCTGCATCGGTGTTCGATCTCTGACGAAGGGGTAAGTCCAATGTTCCGTCGGCCCAGGCAATTGTATCGTTTACGTCGGCGTCGTTCAAGGCTGCATCAGTACATTCGACCTCTTGGATTGCTCTGGTTTGGATGATATATTTGCCTACCTATTTATCATGTCTCTGTTAATCTAGTCTTAGCATATCAATTTAGCTCTATCAGCTGTCTCTCGCTTTAGGGTTTCTGCCGGTATCGGCTAAATCGCATTGCTAGATTAGATTAGCCTAGGCATCTACCACCCTGAAAATCAGTCAACGGCTTGATTGTCTAGATATTGTGTTTGATCTACTAAGTCGTGCTTAGAACCATAATCTCTAGCCTGCCTCTTGATTGCCAATAAGGGTTTCATCGAGGTTTCAGCCGGTGAGTTATCTGGACGTTGCATCGGCTCATAAGGATTGCATATACATAAAAGTTGGATTTAGCCGATGACAACAAAGGTTTCACTGTTTAATCTAATCTTGTGGATTTCATGATATCAGACCTCTAGCCGATGTGTGCTTTAACCCTCGGATCGATGCTTATTTATCATATCATTGCTAGCCGATTGGTTTATACAGGACTATATTGTTATTTTATTATATCATCATCAACCGATTGCTTAAACCCTATCGCTATCGGCTGATATCGGCATCAGCTGTTATCGGCTGGAATTACTCCATCGGCTTGTCAGCCGATCGGCTGTTTTGATCTACTATTTGCATATCTTGTCAGTTGCAGGATCAAACTGACTGGCACGCCCGCATCTCATCAATCTTTGGACCTGCACAGGAGCTAAGCAGATCTCTCAGGCCGGTGCGTTCGATTTTTTCGTCAACAAAGTCATTCTAGTATTTTTTATATTTATAGTGATATTAATGAATCTACTTACATTGTGAAATGGAGGGAGTAGTTTGTGTTGATTGACCCTAGGAACCGCATACCTTGTAAGCTGATCCGGCCGTATATTCTTCGTGGTCTGTAAGCTTTTATTTTTTATTTCGTATGCTGCCGCTTCATACGTATACGTTATGAATGGTGTTCATGGCTTGATGCATTCATATTGATGAAAAACTTGTGACTAGCAGCCTCCATTAAGGTGTGAAGCTGTAGGGTTAATTCATGAAATTTCATTTCCGGGCAGTTCCTATTGAAAAATTGAAACACGATGTGATGCAAATGCACATGAAGATGGAAATGGTCAGTTGGTGAATAATGGAACAACATTGAGGCGCACACGGCACACACATCTTCATATAATAAATCACTACCAGACCTTCTAGTCTACACTGGCCGAAGATGTTGGGGGTCTTCCGGCTAGCTTTACAAGATGGAGGGCTAGATGACTTGGGTTCGAAACCTCACTCCTTTTAATTATTTGATATTAGGTCATTTCTTAATATTAACGTCTTTTTTACACTTGCCAAAAACCATCGGGAAAAATATGAATTACTGTTAGAAAATATTTCTGTGTGGTACACACCATATACCTATAGGAATAGCGACCACCATATACCTATAGGAATAGCCGAGACCACAGAGAAATGTGGTTTTTCCGTCAGTTTGCCGAAAGAAATTATTTAAGTTATTTCCCCGTGATCTCAAAACAACCACACAGTCAAACAAACTGGTGTTAGAAAACGAAACACATCACATGTATACGTTGGATTGAGATCCTCTATTATTGAAGTCACCGTGCCTTTAATACTTACATGTGGGTCCAAAATATTCTATCCTATTCACGTGCCAGCGACAAAGTCATGTAATTTCGAAACTCGAGATTCCTGACCGGAATGATATATACTCAACTCAATTACTCAAATAGTTAAACAGCACGCGCGATGCGGTCATGCTAGCAAGCAGTAGAAAAGAGAGAGGTTGCAATTTTGCATCAGGTGGTGGAGTGAGCCAGGATCAGCTGCGCCAAGGTGGCAATGGCGAGCGCCTCGCCGGCGCTGCGGATGCCGGCGCGCCTCCTCAGCAGCTCGGTGAACGGCCCCGTCCCACCTCCCGGTGCGCCTCCACCGGAGGACCTCGAACGACATGGTGTCCCAGTGCTCGATGTACGGCAGGTGCTCGGCGGCCGCCACGCACGCGCCTCGCCGCTCTCCCGCCACCCGTTCGACACGGGTCTCCCCGATCGGCTTCAGCCGCATATGGCTTCCACGAGCATCACCGACAGGCGCCGCCACGCCCCGCCTGAGCGCCGCCGCCGCCGCCTCCTCCTCGCCGGCGGCGTCCGCGTCGTACGACGCGATCGCCTCGGTGGCCTCCGCCGCGGCCGCTCTCCCCAGCGGCAGGCTGGGGCCGATGAGGTCGCGGTAGGTGCTGCGGAACGGGAGGCGGCGCCTGCAGGCGTTCGGGATGGCGCCCTCGTCGCCGCGGAAGACGTGCCAGTGGCCGCTCCGGTTGGCGAAGCCGGCGAAGGAGAGGTCGTGGCGGTGCGCCGCCAGCGTGGCCTCGCCGCCGTCCAGGTCGATGAGGAACACGTCGTCGCCGGAGATGCCGGCCTGTCGCGCCGCCGAGCGAGCCGCCGCCGCTGCCACTGATCCTCCTCCTCCCCGGAGGCGCCGGCCGCCGCCGCGGCCGGCCGAGAGGTCGAGGAGATAGACGGCGAGGGCGAAGAAGAGGAGGAGGAGGAGTCCGGAGCGAGAGCTCTTTCTTCTTCCTCTTCGCCGGCACGCCGCCGCGGGATGATGAGAGCTCGACTTGGACTTGGATAGTGGAATCGTCGTCGTCGATCGAGCGACACGATCGAGAGCAAATTGTGTACATAATTGTGGTGATGATAGTGTCGTGGTTGCATGCATGCGGATGCGGGTCGCGTTGGACAACTGCACCATGGTTTGTGATGAATCGTCGTCGTTGCGACCGGCAAGTACAGCACGCACGCACGCACGGGTGGGAGAGAAAATGGTAGGTCACTTGTTTGATTGAGGCGGGCATCGAGCTGCGTCGATACGAAATTTCGGAACTTAAATTTGGATCTATGCATTTGTGTACCGTGGGGAAAATCGATCTGCTCCGAGATGGATTCTAATAGCTCGAGTGGACATCCACCCGTTTATTACATGTCAACTAGATGGTTACGAAAAATTTTCAAAAAATTTGATAAGATGTATCCATATGTAATATATCACTCCACAAACATGCAAGTTAAATTCAACTTTTACAATTTGTAAAAAAATAACAAATTTAATTGTAAATATACATATTGTAATTTGAGTTTTGTTTCTTATTTTTGTAACAACTTGTAGAAGTTGAATTTTAACTTACATGTTTGCGGATTGATATATTACATATTGATCTATCTTGTTCATATTTTTTTAATTTTTTTCATAATCATTTAGATGACATGCAATAAACGGGTGGACGTCCACTCGAGCTGTTAAAACAGTTTCCCCGATCTGCTTTGCTCGCAACCTTTCTTCTTCGATTGCGCGTGCTGGAAATGTGCGTGCAGTGAGCAGTGTTGCGACTTGCCATACGGTCATCGCAATCGCAAGTGGTGGCGTAAATGCGTAATACGTTGGAAAAAGTACATCGAAGGTCCCTCAACTTGTCATCGAGTTACAAAATCGTCCTCCAACCACAAAACCAGATATGATACATCTGTCGTCCCTTAACTAATCAAAACTGGTTACAATAAGTCCTTAAGTGGTTTTGACACCGGTTTTGTCCTACGTGGCAACTAAGTCAACGTGGGACCCACGTGGACCACGCATATCAGGATGCCACGTCATCTCTCTTACCCCTCCTCTCTCTCTCGCTCTTCTCTTCTATGGGCAAGCCGGCTGGCGGTTGGGGAGGAGGCCACTGGGGCGAGGCGGGAGAGGAGGAGGCGGCGTGGCTAGCTCGTGCCGCATCCCGTCCTTAAAGTTCCCGTCGCTGTGGGAATCGAAGAGGCAGCGCGGTGGTGTCAGAAGTTGCGCGGTGGAGCGGAAGGCGGCGTTGATCGCGTTGGGAGCCGTGATGGCGTCGGAGAGGGAGCGCGGCGGCGGCGGGGTGGTGTTGTTGCCGGAGGAGGCGAGGAGGGGCGCCAACCTGCCGCTGCCGCATCCTAACATGTGGGGTCCATGTGGGTCCCACGCTGACTCAGCCGTCACGTAGTACAAAACCGGTGTCAAAACCACCAAAGGATCTATTGTGACCGGTTTTGATTAGTTAAGGGACGCCAGATATCTGGTTTTGCGTGGGGGGGGGGTGATTTTGTAACTTGATGACAAGTTGAGGGACCTTCAGTATACTTTTTCCTAATATGTTGGGCTCACGAATCTTTAAAGGCCCATGACTTGTGGGCCTTAGTGGGCTTGGCCTAAAAATGCGGCAACGCGTCTTCCTCGATGCCAGCCGTCTCTGCTCCCGGCGGTCTTTTTTTTTTTTTTAAAACCACTTCCATCGGCTGTTTGTAATCAGACATCAGCTGACCGCAGACGCCGCCGGCCGCCGGCCGCCGGCGAAGTAGAAGCCATTTACAGCGCTGGAAGTGGTAAAAATAGCAGATAATTTACGCTTTGTGCGTCAAGAGGAGTAATGTATTATTGTATTTCTTTCCAACGAACTGTCTGGTTTTTACTTGTTAGTAGAGAGTAACATCCATTTGCAAATTACTGCACTTGTTTTTTCTAAACAAAAGTTATAATACTACGTATCTTCTCTATCTCTACTATATTATAAAAATAAAAAATATTTTTGTCAGTATTTTGGTACGTTATCCGTATTTGAATCGGTTTTTAGATTTGTTCTTTTTGGAAATACAAATCCGTGTTTGAATCGGATTTTAAGTTTGATTGCTTAGGAGTCATATAATAAATCTTTTTTTTTAAAAAAACTCACATGCTAATTTAGGATGAAAGTCGGACTCCTAATTATAGCTCATGATTTTCTTAAAAAAATATCCAAGCGAATTCCAATGGTGAATTTCACCCTACCTATACCGTATAACAATAATATAATTAAAATAATATTTTTCTAGTGTGTATATATATCCAGGAGCATTCCCTCCATAAAAAAACTCAATTTCTAGAGTTTAAATATTGTCCAAAAAAACAACTTCTACAATCCTACAGTCCTACCTACCCTCAGCAGGTAAAACGAGAAGTTTTATTATCACGTTTACTAATATATTTTTTTTCAATAATTAAAGATATTTTAGTCATTCTCACTCTCCACTAATTCCACCTTAGATTGTTAGGAATGGATTTTTTTTGACGGAACGAGTAACAAACTCCTACAGTATGCTCTTGTTTAGATCCAAACTTTTTCTTCAAACATCTAACTTTTCTATCCCATCAAAACTTTTCTACACACAAACTTTCAACTTTTCCATCACATTATTTCAATTTCAATGTGAAGTAAACACACCCAATATTTGAGAGGAAGTACTTCAACACAAAGGAAGAAGGCTCTAGAACAAAGGCCCAGGGTGGGTCCAAAGTCCAAGCGGCACACCACCGGTGAGGAAGTAGCGAGAGGCGGCAATGGCAACACCGCTTGAAGATTCGTGCAAGCCAATCCGCCCAACCAGATGCCCTACCCGGCGGCCTCTCTCTCCTCTCCCCCATAAATCTCTCTCTCCCACGGCCTCCACCCATCGCCTCCCACCCGTCTCGCCGCTCCATCTCCAAGCCCGAATCCCCAAAACCCTAGCCCACCCCCTGCCGCCATGGCCGCCTCCCCCACCGGCTCCTCCTCCTCGGCCCCCGCCGCCGCGGCGGCGGCGGCGGCCGAGGCCACCGACGGGCCGACCCTCAGCGTCGTCTCGAAGCGGCTCCGCGCGCTGCGGAAGAAGCACAACCGGATCCTCCAGATGGAGGAGTCGCTCGCCGGCGGGAGGAAGCTCAACAAGGAGCAGGAGGGGGTGCTCCGATCCAAGCCCGCCGTCGTCGCGCTCATCGACGAGCTCGAGCGGATGCGCGCCCCTCTCGCCGCCGCCCTCGCCGAGGAGCTCTCCTCCCGCCCCGCCCCCTCCTCCTCCGCCGCGCCGCCGCCCCCCGCATCCTCCTCCGCCGCAGGCGCCGCGGATTCGTCCGTCGTCGAGGATCTCCTCGCGCTCATCTACTTCGGCACCCTCTTCGACCTCAAGCCGCAGACCGAGTTCGTCGCCACCATGGTCGCGCGCGCGCAGGAGCGGGACTGCTGCATCACCTACGACTACGTCACGGAGGACGCCGCCGACCTGCTGCACCAGTCCGATCTCGACAAGGTGTCTGCTCTGGCCGCCCTCGCCGCCTCGCGCCCTGCCGCGGCGGTGGGCGTCTCGCACCGCGACGCGCTCCAGTCCTGCGCGCAGCACGCCCGCCTCTGGCTTCGCCGTGCCGATGAGCCAATCCACCCCGAATCCAGCATCACTTGTAAGTATAGGGGTTTTGTTTATAATGTTGTTTGATTTGGGGGATTTGCAATTATGACACTGCAAACATTAACTTTTGCTATAATGACACTGGACCCACATTTCATAGACACAGATGGATCCATTTGTCATCCACGCGGAGTGTCAAAACAGCGAAGCCACCATGTTTGCAGTCCTAATATTGCAATTTTCTCGTTTGATTTTAGCTGCTGATTGGATGATTTATATATATCCGTGATGCTTTATTTGGTTACAGATGCAGCGGTTAGGGCGAAGTTGGACAAGATCATGGCTTCAGACTACTACACAGCGCAACCGGAGATGCCGGAGATGGGGGCTGCGGTCGATTTGTCGGCTGCTGTGCAGGAGAGCATGGTTGTGTCACCAGAGGCGCCGGCTGTGGAAGAGAGCCAGGCTGAGGGACACAAGGTGAAAAAAATATTTGTTCTTTTCTTGCCAATTAACTTTACTTGGCGTGGCCCAATGATTGTTGTCCTGCTAACTTTATCATGCTGTGGATTGATGATGGATTTGATGCAGTACAATATGTTATTATTGCTGCTGCTTGTACTATTATATCTGGTCTGATTTTGTTGTCTAGTGCTATTATTATGATCAACTGTGGATAATTACTTCATTTGGGGGTAGAGATTGTAAGGCAGATCCGAATTGTGTTTATCAAAAGCTTGAAGTTAGATAACTTGCATATGGTTTATTTGATGACAAATGACAGTTAGTGCCTGTGTGTGAGAATTATGCTGGAAAAGGTTCATGTATCCCATTTAACTTGCCACTCTTTGTTTGTACTACACCATGATATTTGTATTATTCTGGGTCTGATGTCACATATATCTGAAGTAAAAAGCATGAGTATTCCACTATATAGGTGCCAATGATTTTGCCGCTGTTGGAAATTGATATGTTTAACAATAGTGTATCTCTAATCGATTATTTTGTAGTAGACAAATATACTACTATGTTTCTCTTGCCTGCTATCATTTTGAAAGCATGATATAAGATGCTGAGGGTTCAAAATTACAACTTCCATGAACTTTTTATGCTTAAGATTTTTTTATACGGTCCTTAAAAGATCTATTTTTTCTGTACATGTTCTTCTTTTTCGACCAGTTAAGCCTCATGGATGGATTTGATCTGCAAAATATTCTCCTTTTCAATTTGTGTAACTTAAGTTTTATATGCTTTGTCTGCAATAATATACTCCTTATATATTGTTATGCTGAAGTATTGCTTCTCTGATGCCTTAATGGCTTAATGCATATATTTTCAAGTTTTAGACGTACTCAGTTTTTATTTTACTGCTTTTTGACTCTGAATATATTATCTATTGTACAGCCATGCATTCTTGACAAGCATTTTTTACCAATTTGCTTGGTGCCTGCAATTTGCATCTTAAACTTTGAGTTGCCTACTTAATCTTTTATAGGTTCATCCAAAAACCCACCGATAACCACTAACAAGTACTGACAATGGTGATTATATTTATTCTAAAATCATTATAAGGTGATGTAATTCAATATGGATATGTTTATAATTGTTTTCATTTGCTCTCAGTCATGTGCAACTAGGTTTACAGTCTACTGATCTAGTTCGCATGAATATCCTGTTCTGATGGATATTATGAACACACCAAATTGCATCTGTGTCTATATGATGTATTCAGATCAATTTAATTTACTACATAGGATTGCTGATTGCTTTCTGTATGACCCAGTTTTCCATGCTGAACATGTGCCCATTATTAGCTAGTGCTGCTTTCCCATTTACATATTGTTCTGTCTAGAGCTCTTGTTTCGTCATATCTGAAGTCACCATCAACAAATAAAGACTAGAACTTATCGCAGACAACAGTCATACCATATTAGATTTATCTTATTGTGATAGTTCTGGAGTTCTGCTATGAATTTTAGGTAGATTTCTTATGAGCACATGTTCAATGTTCATTGCTGAAAAATGCTTAGATAATATTGAACCACTGTGCAAATTTATTATAGCAACTACCATTATGGAGTTCATTTTGTCCAAAGAAAATACTATTAACTCCCTTCCGGCAGTATACAGGCATGCCAACTCCTTTAATGGGTGTCTGTCATACATGTTTTCATTCTTCGAGTTGATAACACCTAAGTGAAGCAATTAGAGAAAAGGTAGTGCATTTATAAAATGGAAAAAAAATGCTTTGCACCTAAAAGTTGTGTGTATCATTGTCATTCCTATTTGTAGGAATAGAACACAAGCTGAAAGTAAGGACTATGGTTCAGGCATAACCCTCCTTTTTTTATTCTAATGAGGTAGGTTGGATAACCTTGTTGCATGTCAAATATCAGATGTACCCTTAATATGCTTATTTCCCCATTCACGCTTGTAGGATGGTTGATAAATTTTGTATGATTGAGCCTTGAAGTGTGATTGAGTTTTAAAGATATTTTATTTTATTATTTGACATTATTCATTTGAGTAAACACCTAATCAGCTCCCTTCTGGCTATATAAGTGCTACTCCCTCCGTTTCATATTATAAGACTTTCTAGCATTGCCCACATTCATATATATGTTAATATCTGTAATCATTTGTCACTCTGTAGTATGTAATATCGAACAACTTATAGAATTCTATTTTGAGCTTTAAAGTGCCAATGTTGTCCATGTTTGTGCATGATAATTTTTTTTGTGAATGAACATGGCAAACTGAAGCTCTGTTCTTTATGGATGATTGAACAGATTATAGACAATCGTCCATAGGGATGGATTAACCAAAAGATTAGCTTAGAACTAGTTATCTAAGCAATGTTGATGTAGAAAGTTTTTCGAGAGATTGTGTTTTGAGAACTGTGGTACTCATAATCCATATTCCATAATGCATGACATAACTTGATTGTGTCTTTTTAAATTAGGAACAGCAATAACAAATGGAGGTCTAGAGAAGGATAAAGATTAGATTATTTTGACGACTACAGACTTTGTACATGCGATTTGTCGATGTTGCTAGTTAATATCAGTTCGTAGGAAGCAACAAAATGAAGGATATATTTTCATCATTGCTAAGACTTTGCTTTATTATTTCTTACATTATTAATGCTTATGCATCGATATCCTTTTAGTATGACCAAAGTCGTGCCTTTAATGGGCACTTAACCCAAAACTGTCTGGCTAGCCATATGTGTGGATATTTTTTTTACTGTGCCTGTGTAATATAGTACTGTTGAAATTGCTGGCATATTGAGCTCATTATATATTATTATTTGTAGTATTTGCTAGAAGAGTCTGATAAAAGTTTGTGATGTTTGCAACATCTTCGGCATTCTAAAGCCAAATCTTTTGGTTTACGTGTGTATAGACTGAGCAATATTTAGATAGAACACACTATATTGTGAGGTTAGAATTGTGTCCATTATCGATTGTGATGGATTTTGTGTGGGCATAATTGCTCCAAATTGTCATTATCTTATTTTGCATCTAGTGCACTGTAGAGGCATTTCTACAAGAGAGATTTTTAGTTTGGATGTGATTTGACTTAGGAAACTTGAAGGTCTATTATCCTGTGGGCAAATGTTGTGATCAATTTGTTTTGTTGGCGTAGTTTGTTTGTTGCCTAGTCAGTTCTTTTGAGGCACGGGTTATATCTTGTTTACTGATATCTTATATTTTGTTTGTTGACAGGATGAGAAGGAGGCTTCGGAGGCTACAGAAATCTACAACGATAATCAGCCTAATGTAGCTGATGCTCAGAATGTGGTATTTACCAATGATTTGTTGATATTTCTATATGCAATATGTTTCCTCATACTGACTAACCACATAACTTCAGGAGGATGAAGCCCCGGTGAATCCTTCTGAAGAGTTCTCAGCAGCAGAGGTGGAGCAGGAGAAGTTTGAAGCAGATGTGGAGGAACAAGAGAGGAATGCAGATCAACAGTTCACTTCTCGACGGCCTTACCAGAACCAGCGCGGTGGTGGTGGTCGTGGTGGTGGCAGGAGGGGTTACCAGAATGGAGGTCGTGGTGGACGTGGGGGGCGAGGAATGGGCGGTGGCGGGTACCAGAATGGTCGTGGTGGTGGCGGCGGCGGTGGCTACCAGAATGGCCGTGGTGGGGGTGAGGGTGGTGGGTACTACTATAATGAGCCTGGTTACTACCAGCAGAGGGGGTACAGCAACAGAGGCAGGGGTGGTCGCTCTGGTGGTGGCAACTCTTATTACAACAATCAAGGTGGAGGTTCGCAGGGAGGTGGCCACGCCCATCCTGGGAGGGTTGAGCTGGGCGCAAACGCTTAGCTTCCTAACTATTTTGCTTGGAGGAGTGAGTGTTACGCGAGGAGAGGACATAATATGTGGGAGCCATTTTGTTATTATAGAACTAACTTAGCCCTTTATTATGTCAACATTTGCCCCCCTCAGAGTTCTTTTGTCACTCCAATGACTTTCATATGGATGGTTGGTTGATAATGCGGAATACTTTGGGGAAGTAGTTTAAGGTCATATTCGTTCTCCTTAATTCCATTTCTTGTGTTTATGTGTGGTGGTTGTTTTACTTCTCTTCTCATTTTCTGCTTATGAGATTTATCATGCATCTACTGTCTACATATCACAACAACATGATACACATAATTGGTGCTGCTCTTTTTTTTTTCTTCATGAGTTGGCTTCATAGATGCTGCTAAATCGTGCCAACTCAACTCCCAAGTTTCCCGTCCGTTACTGTACCATATTTTTTTGTGAGGATTGTTTTATTAGCTGTTGTTCTATGACGACCCTGCAAATGTCACCAGGTGCGACCGTGTGTTGTTTACCTGAGCAATCCGAGCCGAGAGCTGCGGTTATGTGCTCTATGTGCAACATTTTTGTTTATGTTTTTTGTCTTATGTTTGTCTCTTGCATACCTAACCCAGTCTGTTGTTTTAATTTGTTTATGCATGCATTCAGCTCGAGGAAATGTTCTGGTCGGACTTAATCAGACAGCTGACCTATAGTTTCTTGTGTTATGAGAAGACCTAGAGTTTCTGCTGAGCGAATAGACATGGACAATGCCACATCTTAACACTCCACCTAAATTACTTGACCATTTCTTAACCACCATTCCACCTAACATTTCTGTCTACCAAAAAAAATAAACACACATGTAATCCTGTTTATCACGCTGACTTTAGCAAACCGGACAGGTTGATTAGTGTCTGTGTGTGTGTGAGAGAGAGTGTCGAATGGCATGGTAATTAGCCGGGCACTTGCTTTCCGAAGGAGCGAAATCATGGGTACTAATCATGGCCCCGGTGCACGTCGCTTCATGCCTTAATCATGACCCTGCATGTTAGCTATCTCCTCCCAAAACCTTTGACCATTGCCTTTCTTCTAATTAGCACTTGTTTAATTTGCTTAATCCGCTCAAAGCGGAAAGGAATTTGTTGTACTCACCTTTCTAGCTTGCACAGTTCCTCCGTCCTTTCGCGCCGATTCCATCGTTAGCTCTCACTGCCCTGTTTAATAAGTGGTCCTCTCTTACTTGCAGGATGGGCAATTTTTTTTCAATTATACGGCGGAACACACAATATTATACATGCTAAAAGGACATAAGTTGACGGTACATCTCTTATCACACTTAGGGCATCATCTTTTCGTTTATATTTATGTTTATCAGCCAAAAATTAAATTTTCAACCTTAAATTTGAAACTGATTTTAGGGTTTTTTCATCAAAGTTTATTTTTCAATTTTTAGTTTTCGATCGCTAAGAATACATACACATATATATATATATACATATATATATATATACATATATATACATATATATATATATATAAATTTTATTCACAAATTATTTTTCGTTTCCAAAATGTCGTTTCGCTTATTCTACAAATAGGCGAAACAATGTGGCTGTAAACTTCGATTGAAAGTTCCCTTCGTTGTGTGTAATATTTGTGATAATTAGGATTTATAAAATTAGCCCTAATGGATGGGTCATTTTCCTACGATTCGACACCACACAAGTGCTTTTCCGGCATTCCTAAATTCTAAGCTTGATTAAGGTTCATTAATTGCATCAGCTGCCATGCTTGTGGTGGAGATTGCAAGAGAGAAATTTTGGTTTCTCGAGTCACCTCACTCCTACTACTCCTATAGTATGGGTTATGGCGAGATGTTGGGAGTTGGATATGTGTCATGTCATATGAATTGATCACGAACAAAACATTGTGCACACGTACGTCTGGTCACTTGGTCAGAAGACGTGTCCACATTTCAATTGTGTCTTGATCGCAACAAACAAACAAACGGTAGTAGCTAGCTTAGCTATATCTGAGGGATTGGGACGCATTACTAGCGATGCAATTAAGGGGGGTAGCTCACACAACAGCTCATTTTTCATCCATTCATTTTGTAGTGGGTGTGTTGTTGAGAGGTGGGAAGGAAAAATTATATAGGTAAAACAAGTTAATCTATTAGCACATGTTTAATTGAGTATTAGCTATTTTAAATTCTAAAAATAATTAATATGGTTTCTAAAGTAATTTTTTTTTCTCTTTTTTTCAATAAAAAACGTACCATTTAACAGTTCGGAAAGTGTGCGCATGAAAAATGATATATTTTTTCTCGCTTTGTTGTAGGAACAAAACAAATACGGCTTAAGCTCTACGCGCATCCGTCTTCAGGTAGCGCTAGGGATGCCAGTGGAGTAGACAAGCAGTTTTTTTCCCTGATTATTATAATTCTAGTTTATTTTTTCTTCTAAAATTTTTAGGATATAAAATATTTAAATGGGTCTTTGTACGAGCAATAGTATTGCCCACTTGTATATTTTTAAATAACCGAATAAATTCTTAACTTTTTTCGAAGAAACCACAGACACTTGCATGCCTGAAGCCCAGGTCGTTTTGTACCCTTTGTGCTGGAATCCACACGGCATCAGCTAGATCGACCCCAGCTGCGCGGCATGATGAACAACAAACAGATCAGGGAACAACACACAGAAAAGCTAAATTAAGCATGCACAAACCGCAGGCTAATAGATCAGCTGACTAGCTGCATACTCCATCCGTCCTAAAATAAACCAATCTCATATCGGATATGACGGGCCTCATCGTTTGGCATATTCATATGCTTATAAGCCAAAATTTAAATTTTCAACGTTAAATTTGGAGCTGATTTTGGGGTTTTTTCATTGAAGTTTATTTTTCAGCCTTTGCTTTTAGATCGCTAAGAACACATATATAAAAATTTTATTCACAAATTAATTTTTGTTTGCAAATATTCAAAAAATATGCCAAACGTTGAGGCTGGATATGTTGTAGTACAATAAATGTTTATATCTGGTACGATCGTACAAGATCGATTTATTTTGAGACGTAGCGAGTATATACGATACGAGGCCAAATTCTGCATTTGAGCCAAAGGCACCTAGCTATACACGCCTACACCGGGAGACCAACTCAATGGACCGACGCAATGCAAGAGGCAGCAGCAACTCGACACTTCGACAGCAACAGAAAGGTATGGGAGAAAAAGAAGTTGAATAAAAAAGAACAGTTCGAGCTAGAAATGGTTGTAGCTAGTTGGAGATCGAGACAGCAAAGGTATCAGGTAATTTTATAGTAATCCTGCCTCTTGGTAGAGCTGTCCCTCGTACTAGGAAGCTACGCATCCTTTCATCCGCATCAAAACTTCAGATTCGTACAGGGAAATTAAAGTGTTTTCTCAAGGATACCATCTCGTTTATATAAACATGTTAGCTAAATAGTTACATTTTTAAAAGGAAACTTAATAAGATATATTAATATGAGATAAACACCTACAAGCCTTTAAAAGAAAAAGAATATAGCTGTAAATTTACGTTAACTAGTTTCGGTTTAATTTGTTCTTTCGCTGCAACTTGTTCATATACTACTAGTATGCATCATCATGCAGTAGGAGTATGCATGATATATATGGTCCCTTTCTTTCTTCATTTCTCATCTCTACTACTCACTGATCCCATCTCTCGACACGACGTAGCCCTGAAGCAAAGCTCCCTCCCTCACTGGTCGTCACTGCCTCCCTCTTTCTACCCCCTGCTTTGATCGATCGACCATGCATGGCAAAGCATCATGCGTGCACACTGATGCTTCTTACCGATCAAATTAAGTTTTTTTTTTACTCAGATCAGCTCATATCATTCATCAAAAAACTATATTTGATTGATTCCTGTCTCATTTTTTTCTTCTCTCTTTCTCTGTCGATTTGATCTCATTGCAATTGCGTAGTAGACCACTTCAAGACATCGACCTCTTCTTATCCCTCCTCTCTTCCTCCCGCCCGTCTCTCTCCACCATTTGATTCACACTATATATATATATATATTTTGCGGCTTAATTTCCCTTGTTTCTTTATGCTTCTTGTTCATCCAAGCTAAGCTGAGCTGAGCTGAGATGGGCGAGAGATGTAGAAGTAGATAGAATTAAGCTAGCTAGAGAGGTAGATATATAGCTGTGGTGAGGAAGTTTCCAGAAGGTTCTAGAAGATCGCCATGGGCAACACGTGCTGCGTCGCTCCGGCTACCACCGATGAGGTGGGCGCGCCGCCGCGAGATCATCATCACGCGGCCAAGAAGTCGCCGGCGCCGTCGGCGACGACGACGACGGCGACGAGGCAGAGGCATGGCCAAGAACCCAAGCCCAAGCCCAAGCCCAGGGCGAGGGCGAAGCCCAACCCGTACGACTGGGCGCCGCCGCGGGTGCTGCCGGCGAGGGGCGGCGCCGCCGCGTCCGCGGTGCGCGTGCTGGAGGGCGTGGTGCCGCACCACCCGCGGCTGCGCGTCACGGACAAGTACCAGCTCGGCCGCGAGCTGGGGCGCGGCGAGTTCGGGGTGACGCACCTCGCCACGGACCGCGCGACGCGGGAGCGGCTGGCGTGCAAGTCCATCCCGAAGCGCCGCCTCCGCACCGCCGTGGACGTCGCCGACGTGCGGCGCGAGGTGGCCATCATGGCGTCGCTCCCGGACCACCCGGCGCTGGTGCGCCTCCGCGCCGCCTACGAGGACGCCGACGCGGTGCACCTGGTGATGGAGCTCTGCGACGGCGGCGAGCTGTTCGACCGGATCGTGGCGAGGGGCCGGTACACGGAGCGCGCCGCGGCCGCCGCGGCGCGGACGGTGGCGGAGGTGGTGCGCGCGTGCCACGCCCACGGCGTGATGCACCGCGACCTCAAGCCGGAGAACTTCCTCTACGCCGGCAAGGCCGAGGACGCGCAGCTCAAGGCCATCGATTTCGGCCTCTCCGTCTTCTTCCGACCTGGTCAGCTTCTTCCCTTCTTCTTCCTCTGCAATGCATGCACGCTTGAACAAAACTTTTTTTTTTTTGCCTCTCTTCCCCATTTAATTTTTTTAGAACATATTCTCAAAATTTTTTAGTGGTAGTAGATATTCTCAAAAATCCCATTCAAAGAATTTTTTTAGAGATTTTCAGTACCTCAAAAAATCCCATTGCAAGAAATTTTGGAGATTTTCACTATATGAAAAATTGATCTGCAAATAAATTTGGAGCTTTTCACAATAATTTTTCACAATCTCAAAGATTGAAATGTAAATAAATTGGGAGCTTTTTCAAAATATCAAAGATGAAATTGCAAAAAAAAGAGGATATTTTTTCCTTCACAATGTCAAAAGATCTAATTGCATGAAAACAGAGATTTTCCAGAAATGCTCAAACTAGTTTTGCAGTTGTTTTTTTGGGTTGCACGTGGATTCTTTGAGAATTATAATACTATAAGCACAGTTGGGAATAGTTAATTAGTCCCCTGCTACAACTTTTCAAAAGATCCCTTCTGTTATAAAAGGTGAAATTTTATCCCATTTCTTAAACACGTTATCTTTTCACGGGTGCCAAATCATAAAGCACAAAACACCCCCAAATGATCAATGGGTAGGTGGGAGTACATATAAAACCTCAGTAGAGCCTTTTATGTTTTTATATATGAAAAACATATCTTTAAGAGAAATTTTATGGTACTTAAAAGAGGTGCTCTCTCCAATCATTTGTACTTGACGTTGGAAGAACCAATCGTAATTCTGTTAACGTCAAATATAAATGAACCGCGAGGGAGGGAGAATCAAATTTTGCAGAGAGAGATACCGAAAATACGATGCCTCATAAAAAACCGCAAAATCACTCGTATTAAAAAAGAATCATAAACATCAATAAGAACACATTATTTCTAACAAAATGTGAACCCATAGTTGGTCGGCTAACCAACCCAAATTTGACCCCCTCCCTTAGTAAATTTGGTGTGCAGTGAAAATAGAACAGGTCGGCGTTTCGGTGCCCTCTTGCGCCTGAATTTCACTTTCACCGGTGGAAGAAATTAAGAACAGTCTGCATTTGAAATGGCAGCTGATCGTGACGGTGAGCCGAAAAACCGAGCCAATTCTGCCCGAAATTTTCAGAGAAAAAGTCTGTGGATGCTGGGTCATCAGATGATGCTACTCCTCTCTGCAGACACGCATCACGCCGTCCCCTGTGTTTAGCTTACTCGGTCAGTGAGTTCGTCAACCTACCACAAAGCTGAATTTCTTTTTTAATTAACGATAGTAGAAAAGAATATAAAAGTATAACCTGAATATTTTTATTTTGAAAAAAAATGGATTGGAAAACCATGTGTTTATATCTAGACCGAATATACGCAGCCACGAAAAACAGTGATTAAAAAAGAGAACAAAATCACCACCACACGCCGAGTTTTTTTTTTCCATAGTTGCGTCCAGACTGTTAAGAGGTCGTGGTCGGCAGCAGATTGCTGTCAAGATCTTAATTAAGATAAGCAAGATCGGTGTCAAGGATCTTACGATAATAGACGACTCGCTCTTGTTGAGTCCTCAGGGGAGAAAAAAACTGTCACTCTTGTTCTTAATTATTGTTCCTCTTTGATGTTGCATGGCCGAATAGATTGAGCTGGACAGATCATTTCAGAATACAGTCAACTCGTACCGTTATTGCTTGGAATGTAAGAATGGTGGTAAAACATATGAATAGCAAATAAGCAGAGTTTTAATATAAATACATTTGCATAACAAAGGATCCGTATAATAAAAGAAGTACAAGAATTGGATCAGAGAGACGGGGGTTGTTTTAACCTTACTCCAAAATATTAATGCATTGAGCAGTCCAAAGGAATTTCATGAGATTTTTAGATCTCCAATCCTTTCCTCAAATAAATGGAAAGATTTGAATTCTACAAAACTCCTTGACAAGTCCTTTGTTATAAACAGAGGCTCTCCATTTTGCACATTCATGTTCAAGCAAAAAAAAAAGACATTTTGCACATTGACATGATCTTTCAAACATAATATTGACCATCACTTTGCATCATAATATATACAGTGATAAAATTCCAGTGTATTTTGCTTATCCATCTTGAACGTTTAAAATGGATTTTTATTTATACCTTAAGTCTAAATGCATATCTAAAGCATCAAAATATGGGGTTAAGTATACATTTGTGGATAAATTTGTACTAACCACAGTACAATATTTGTGACGAGATAGAGCCTAGTGAGAGTGTGACTCTGAGATGGGCCGGCCTACATGCAATCTGTGCAGATAGGCCCAGTAGATTTCATACGGCCCATGTTTCAAATCCAGCCTTTTCTTCAACCTCACCAAAAAACTAGTTATACATTTGTTGTCAAAGATGTAATTATAGCACAATTGTGTTGTAACTATATTATAATTTAGTATCATGTAACTTGTAAGTAACTTTCAAAAATCAATAGGCGACATGTTATTTCCATGAAATGGAGGTAATGGAACCGAATTCCCTTACATGCGTGTGCAATGTGATTTTTTCTTATCTACCTTGCATGAATTTTAAAGCAAAATCGAACGGTTTAAAAGTATGTGAAAGTTACGTACAAATTACATTATAGTTACATGTGTGATTACACATATTTACATTTGTTAAATTTTTATGAGAAAATTTGCCGATAAATATACAGAAAAAAAAGAGAAAAAAAACTGACTTGGCAAGTGAAAGGAAACAGGGGAGAGGTTCAGGGAGATCGTGGGGAGCCCGTACTACATGGCGCCGGAGGTGCTCCGGCGAGACTACGGCCCGGAGGTGGACATCTGGTCCGCCGGCGTCATCCTCTACATCCTCCTGTGCGGCGTCCCGCCGTTCTGGGCCGAGACGGAGCAGGGCGTGGCGCGCGCCATCCTCCGCGGCGCCGCCGACTTCGACCGGGAGCCATGGCCGCGCATCTCCCGCGCCGCCAAGTCCCTCGTCCGCCAGATGCTCGACGTGGACCCGCGCCGCCGCCCCACGGCGCAGCAGGTGCTCGACCACCCCTGGCTCCACCACGCCGCCCGCGCCCCCAACGTCCCCCTCGGCGACGTCGTCCGCGCCCGCCTCAAGCAGTTCTCCCTCATGAACCGCCTCAAGAAGAAGGCCATGCGGGTACGTGGCGTGCGTGCTCTGCTCTTGATGTCGTCTCCGGCGACGGCGAGCCCGTTTCTGTGTCTGACCGCCCAGCGATGCACGCAGGTGATCGCGGAACACCTGTCGGTAGAGGAGGTGGAGGTGATCAAGGACATGTTCGCGCTCATGGACACCGACAACAACGGCAGGGTCACGCTCCAGGAGCTCAAGGACGGCCTCACCAAGGTCGGCTCCAAGCTCGCCGAGCCCGAGATGGAGCTTCTCATGGAGGCCGTAAGCTTCTTTACCCTTCTTCAAGATAGCAATGGCGGCAATGGCGAGTTCTTGATTTTGCATTGGCAGGCGGATGTGGATGGCAATGGGTACCTGGACTACGGCGAGTTCGTGGCGGTGACCATCCACCTGCAGCGCCTCTCCAACGACAACCACCTCCGCACGGCCTTCCTCTTCTTCGACAAGGACGGCAGCGGCTACATCGACCGCGCCGAGCTCGCCGACGCCCTCGCCGACGACTCCGGCCACGCCGACGACGCCGTGCTCGACCACATCCTTAGAGAAGTCGACACCGACAAGGTAAACACACACGCTTCCCTTCCACTACTCCATTTGCAACAAAAATGTTCTTCAATTCAGCTCTATCTCTTTTGAAGCCTAGCCAGATAGTTTGAACTCCACTCAGAATTAGAGTGAAATTAGTTGAAGCGCTCTTACAAAATGAACTGGAGAAATGTAACTGGGTTTAGCCTCCTCCACAACTCCACTTCAAACTCGGCTCTCGGAGTTAAATTTAGGCGTTAGAGCTCTCCCAAATAAACTCTGAAACTGATCAATCTCTGAATTTGCATGCAGGATGGGCGGATCAGCTACGAGGAGTTCGTGGCGATGATGAAATCCGGGACGGATTGGAGGAAGGCGTCGCGGCAATACTCGAGGGAGCGGTTCAAGACGCTCAGCAACAGCCTCATCAAGGACGGCTCGATCACCATGGCGCGCTAGCTAGCTCGACGAATTCAGTCGATTCAGGCTTGAGAATTCATTGAGAATATGAGGTCGATGCAATGCTCGAATTTTTTTTTTTTGATGCATACTTCATTCGAATTTGAATTTGGGTTTTCCATTTCGTCCAATTTTTCTTTTGTACAATCTACTGTAGATCGATCGGTCGTCTATCTGAACCTTCTTTGTGTAGGATGTGTTAGTGAACGCTGGGATTGTTTCAGCATTCGTTGTACGTGTTTGAAATTGCGTCGGGTGTAATTATGTGGTAACGGTGGTAATCAAGCAAATTTACAGCAAATTCATTGTGATGATCTGTACTAATATGCATATGAAACATCAGGTTATTCACACAAAATCTCTTGTCAGCTTTTCTCGTCGGCGGTAGGGAGGACACGCTCTTTTTTCATGGCGCCGCCGAAATAATCTCCTCGTTGGACAGTTTCACTATAATATCACGCTGCACATAGCTTTTTTTTTTTAACGACCACACACAAGACAGTGCGAAGTTTCATATTCATCGTAGGCGGATATAGAGGGTGGTCCGGGGAAAAACGGCGATGGACCCGTATATATTAAGAAAAATGAAAATAGCGATTTTTGAAAAGGAAAAAAAGCGATCTAATCCTCTTCCTCCCGTCGTTCCCGAGTCCCGACTCGCGGCGCCCACAGGCCCACACGCGATCACGCGACGCGAGTCCTCCTCGCCCTTCGCCGCGATCTCATCTGATCACTCCACGTCAGACGTGACGCGACGCGATCAGCAGCCAGACAACCAATCACAGGGCAGGGCCACGGCGCCAGCGGCCAGCCCACGCCGGCACGCGCGACCCAGCGGCCAGCGCCCGCGCCCGGCGCCCCCACGGCCACGCCGCCACGCGCGAGTCCCGCACTCTGCCGCCTTGGCCGCTGCTGTGCTGCGTCTGGCTGGCACTACATTGGTGCTGACCTGCTGTGCGTGTGCCGCCGCGAGGAGCCGTCGTCGAGCTGATCAGCCGCCCGCGCCAACAAGGCAACAATTTTAGGTTTTCTATGTGTATACGTTTTTCAATTTTTAGTTTTAAAATCTTATTAAACTCTTATGCATTGTGATATATCATGGTAATTTTTTTACAATTTGGTCTATTCTATTATCTATACTTGCATTGTATATATTAGTATCGTTAGATTTACTGTGTTTAGAAAAAAAAATTAGGTCGGACCACCCATATCCTAAATGCTAGATCCACCACTAATATTCTTGCATTGCACGTAGCTTTGTTTTTGCTCGGCGTCCTGGTTCACCATGGCGGCGAGCTTCCATGCCGCTCTCCTCCTCCTCTTCTTCCTCCTCTCGGCCGTGGCCGGGCGAGACCACCACCTGGTGGTGGAGAAGTACGGTGTCAGCATGAAAGGCGCCGACGGCGACGTGGTGCACCGTGCACCTGGCCGTGCACAAACACGACTACTCCTTCGCTGGCTTCGCCAACCGAAGCGGCCATTGGCACGTCTTCCCCGGTAATGAGGACGTCCTCCCCGACAACGCCAGGCGTCTCCCGTTCCGCAACACCTACCGCGACCTTATTGGCGGCCTCGAGAACATCCCCGGCCTGCCGCTCAGGAGGGCGGCCTCGCTGCGCGCCATCGGGGCACTGTCCTCCTACGACGCCGGTGCCACCGGCGAGGAGGCGATGAGGCGTGGCGTGGCAACACTGTCGATGGTGCTGACCCAAGCCCTGCGGCTAAGGCCAGTCGGGGAGACCGTGTCGAGCAGGTGGGAGAGCGGTGAGGCGCGCGTGGCGGCGGAGCACCTGCCGTACATCGAGCACTGGTACACCATGTCGTTCGAGGTCCTCTGGTGGAGGCGCACCGGGAGGTGGGACAGCCCGTTCACTGAGCTGCTGAGGAGGCGTGCCGGCGAGGCGCTCGCCGTGGTCCGTGTGATCGCGAACAAGAGCTTCGTGCAGCTGCTGCGGGCTCACAGCCACGGCGCCTGATGCTAAATTACTCGGGCATCGCTAGCTGGCGCGTGAGCGTCGGCGGTGCTCGTTTTTTCGAGCTAAGTAGTTATACTAATCTATTAGTATATTAGATAATAACAGTTTAGGATAATGATGGTAGTAGATAAGATTTTATTTTTTCTGTGAGATTTTTTTAACTAACAAATTAAAAAGAAATCTACATGTGAAGTTACAGTTTCAAAATTTTAAACCTAGATTTGAAAACTTTCAACTCGAAATTTAAATTTTTTAAGTCAAATTTGAAAACTTTCAACCTAGATTTGAAAACTTTTAACTCGGATTTAAAAACTTTCAACTCGGTTTTAAAAACTTTCAACTCGAGATTTGAAAACTTTCAACTCAAGATTGAAAACTTTCAACTCGGGATTAAAAACTTTCAACTCAAAATTTGAAAACTTTCAATTCGAGATTTGAGAATTTTTAAATTAAGATTTAAAAATTTTCAAGTTAAGAATTAAAAACTTTAAAAAAAATTAAAAACACTTGCTGCTGGAAGATTAAAAAGTAATCAGGAAAAAACGCAAAAAAAAAAAGGAAAGCGAAAAAAAATCACGGAAAAAAAGAAAGCGAAAAAAAAGGAAAACGGCGGTGGTTACCGAAGAAAAAATTGCGCGCGCGTGCCGCGTGGGCCGGGAGTGCACGCTACCGGCGCGCGCGAGAATTAGGATTCTCGAAATTACTCTGGTTGCTGCTTTGCTTTGCTTTATTGATCGTGGTGCGTGGCTGCGTTGCTGCATACCTGCTGTTTCTCTGAATAAACGTATCTCTAGTGTAGTAGTGTATCCGGTGCGGAGCTAGAATGAAATTGAGGAGTGTGTTACTTGTTTAATTTACTTTATCATGGATCTTGTTTAAACTGGTACGGATGTTTAAGTTTGTATTGAGTGGATGTACAAAATATACTAGCTATAGGTTAAAAAAAACCTGGTCACTCGGCACCCCTTCGTATGCTCAAGTTCCGCCCTGACTGTACTAGTAGTAGTGTCTCAGCGTTCGGTTACTGACTTCGTGTGTGTTTCGTGTTTCCATTCCGAACAGACGATATCTTAATTTTACTGTGTTCGAGTCCCTGTTGTTTTTGAGATCACGCCATGTTCCCATTCAAGACATGGCCGACAGAGACGAGGATACAAAATAGACTTATTTTCAGCCATATAAGAGAGGAAAAAGTACACCGAAGGTCCCTCAACTTGTCATCGAGTTACAAAATCGTCCTTGAACCACAAAACCAGATACAACGTATCTCTCAACTTACAAAACCAGTGCAAACTAGATCTCCTGGTGGTTTTTAACTCTGATTTTATCCGATGTGGCAGCTGACTCAGTGCGGGACACACGTGGATCCCACATGTCAACCTCTTATTCCCCTTACCTCATCTCGCGAACGAGCCACCGGAGCAGCTAAAACTTCCCCGCCGATGCAAGCGCCACGGCGAGCACGTTGTACTGCCGGGTGGTCCGCCGCGCGCGCAGCGACAGGAGGAGGCGGAACACATCGAGTCGTCGACCACCTGGTCCACGAATCCCGCGGAGGCGAGGTGCTCGATGACGACAGTGTAGGTGCAGGCATTCAGGAGCGCGCCTTCGCCGGACCATGGCGCGGAAGGCCTCCACGGCGACGGCATGGTCACCCGCGGCGGCGGGATCTGGCGCCCGTGCCGTCGGCGGCGGCGGTGGCGGCAGCATGGGGGAGGCTCTCCTGCTTCCGCGTCGTCGCCTCGTCGCGCGGCCGCTTCCACCGCCGCCTCCTTGCCGTCGGACTCCCGCCTCCCCCACCAGCCTCCTCCCACCCGTCGGCTGCGCTGCCAGTGCCCAGTGAGAGAAAAGAAGAGCAGAGAGGAAGAGAGGTGGAGAAGGGAGGGGAATGAGAGGCTGACATGCAGGACCCGTGTGGGTCCCACGCTGAGTCAGCTGCTACATCGGACAAACCGGATCAAAACCGTCGAGGGATCTATTTTGCATTGGTTTTTATAAGTTGAGGGATACGTTGTATCTGGTTTTGTGGTTCGAGGACGATTTTGTAACTCGATGACAAGTTGAGAGACCTTCGGTGTACTTTTTCCTATAAGAGATGACCCAACGAGATTAGGGAGGCAAGATATACTTTATTTAAGGAGGAGCACGGTGGGTTTTCGTGTCTTCGGGTCGGTCCGGCACGACCCGAGTCTTATTGGATCGTGCTTGGGCTGATGGTGCAGCAAGTAGGTGGGCATGGCCCGGCCCACCGTGTAGGTCGGGTCGTGCCAACCCGACTGATTTCAGCCCGGGTCCGATCGTGCTCTGGCCGTGCCGGTGAAGCACCGAAGACTATCAACGAGAGCCTGGTGGGCCGTCACGGAGCGGCTTGAGGCTTCCCAGGCCATGCCCTGTGGATGGGCCGGAATTCACAAGTCCGGGATTAGGTGGGTGGCACTGATCAGAGCAAGCTCCGGCGACGGCGAGACGCCCGCCGCCGGCAAGCTACCTCCTGTTCACCGATCACCTCCGGCGCGCGTGATCTCATTCCTCGATGGCCCTGACTTGATTAATACTCCATCCGTTTCTAAATATTTAATTTTTTTAAATATGTTTGACTGTTCATCTTATTAAAAAAAGTAATTATTAATTCTTTTCTTATCATTTGATTCATTATTAAATATAATTATATGTATACATATAGCTTTACATATTTCATGAAAGTTTTTGAATCAAACATATGCTAAAAAGACAACGGTATTAAATATTTAGAAACGGAGGGAGTAATTGGCACACTGAATTAAGAATATCGTCAGGAACATAAATTCTGTGCGCTAGAGGCTTTGCTGAGGTACACAGCGCTGCATTACTTTTTTTCGCCGGGTCCTACTCTGTTTTTGACCGTTCAATTGTATTCTCGATTTGTTAAGGCTCAGCATCTTTTGCTCAGCTTATAAGACGCTGCTAAAATTTAACTTTTATAAAATATGATTTTGATTTTTTTTGTCATCAAAGTTAATTTTTTACCATTAGTTTTTAAATCGTAATGTACACACACATATTATATATAAGTTTTGTCCGATTCATAAGTTATGAATAATCAACATATGTTCGCCATTTATCTCTATTGTGTTCATTTGTTATTATGACGGGAAGATCTTGAACTAAATAGCCTGGAATATACGTATATGATGAAATGGACTTTTTATAACTAAAACAATATTATTATAAGCACACTAAAACTCACTGTACTCTGCATGTATATAAGTAGAAAAAAAAACAGGTGAAACAATTTCATAAAAATAATTCTCATAATTTCTTAATAATGTCACATTATCCAGCTAGCCACATGCACGCAGAGATGGAATC